TTTTTTGGTTTTTCTCCGGTACCAGGAACCGAACTCACGACCTTGCACCTGCCAGGCAGGCGCTTTGCCGCTGAGCTAAATCCCCAGCCCCCTTAGCTGAGAATTTAAAAAAATAATAAGACAATGCCCAACCAGAGATTACAGTGTAAAAATTAGAACAGAAGGAAATGGAGGCAAGTTTAAATAAAAAAAAAATACTAGCTAATATTGCAATTACAATGTGGCAGGAACTGTTCCAAACACTTTAAGTTTAATTGTCCTCACACTTGTATGTGTTTGGTGATTATCATCCCTAGGTACTCATGCAACAAAGGAAACTGAGTCACAGAATGATTAGTAATTTGACAACTCAAGAGTTGAGGGGTGGTGGAGCCAGGCAGTCTGGCTTTCGGCTCTGGACGCTGAACCTCACATCATGCTGCTTCACAGACTGCCCATCCCTTCCCCTTTTCCAGCTCCCCTTATTTCTCCACATCCATTACTCATGACCACCTCCTGCACCACCCTTTCTACTTCTACTATGTACTTAACCCCTTTTTCTGCGGGCCAAAACCTAAAGTTCAAATGCTGCTCCATGCTTCTAAATTAATCTTTACCCTTAGAATTTCTTCCAGATCTTTCCATTTTATCCCATTTAAAAATCTACCCATGCTGGATGTGATGGTGCTGTAATCCCAGCATTCCAGAGGCTGAGGCAGGATTGCTGCCATATTGAAAGCCAGCCTGGGCTACACAGTGAGACTCTGTCTCAAAAAGAAAAAAATCTATCCATGAAGTGCCTATTTACAATCTATCACAATCATGGAATGAAGGAAGAATAGCACCCAGATCCTAGAGGATAAACTGGAGTTACGGTTTTCGGACTTGATACTATACTTGGTACTGCATTTCGCTGTCTGACAAAAGTAATAGTGATAACCAAGTGCTACCTGTATGCCTGATATTATTTTAAACTCTCTCCATGTATGAACACATTTAATACTACAGTCTCCTTGTGAGGTGAGCTCTGATTATCATTTCGATTCACAGGTGAGAGGTAAAGAGGGCTTAAGTAATTACTTAATGTATACCCCATGGTGTTGCCAGGTTTAATAACAACCCAGGTTTTTTTTGGTTTTTTGGGGGGCGGGTACTGGGAATCAAACTCACGACCTTGCGCTTGCTGGGCAGGTGCTGTGCCACTGAGCTAAATCCCCAGCCCCACAACCCAGGTCTTAATCATTGTGACAACAGTCTTTTAGTCCCACATACTCCATGAGAAGAAATACTAACCATTCCATTTTTACATTTTTTTTCCCCTTGAAAATTTCCAGAGTTCCTTTCAAAAGGCCTGTATCTCCTTTACATGTCACTTCAAAACTGTGTTCAACCATCTTCTGGAAATGCCAAAAATCCTTGAGCGGATTTTCCCCTTTTTTACCCAATTATTTTTTGTTTCTATTTTTTGCTCTATTCCCTCAGAAGTCTGATGGAATTATAAACATTCACTGCCATTTCACAATGACTGGAATTTACGCTTGGACTTTTTGATTAACACAAAGCAAGTCTCCCCAATGTGTGAGTTTAAATTGGGACTCTTATCTTAATCAAAGGAAACCTGACCCCTGCGGGTTTGGGTCCCGCCCTGCTTGGCTCAGCCTGGGATGTCCAGAGTTGATTCACACTTGTCCCTGTCTCCAGACCATCTTCCGTGAAAAGGGATGACCCCTGCATCCTTGGCAACTGCCTTTTCGAAGTTGCCAACACTGGCCCTAAATTATCAACACTGTAGCTTAATGGGAAAGGCTGGGAAAGGCAGTGAATTTCTGGAAAGCAAATAGGAAGTAGTTTTTGTAAGCAGCCTGACACCGACGGGAGCAGCGAGACTATAAGAAAGAAGTCTGGGCTGGGGAGAAGGCAGAAAGCCAGCAGAGTACAGAGGAGATGGTAAGTTCATTTTTCCTTTTTTGTGAGAAGTGGATGAGTTGAAGTGGTTTGGGGCTGGATCGGGCAGATAAAGGCTCAGAAAAGGAGGAACAGCAATAGCCATGGAGTTTTATGTTGAATTGCCTGTTGGAATTTGCAAGTATTTCTTTTGTCTTTTTGAGATGGGTTCTCACTGTGTTGGTCTTGAACTCACGATCCTTCTGCCTCAGTTTCCTCAGTAGCTGGGATCATACTGCATTTCTAAATTTGCTATCTACACTGATCCTCCCAACATCCTTATGAGTCGAGGCTATTTCCATTTTACAAATAAAGCCAAGGTGGTTTGCAGAGGTTAAGTGTTTTACTGAAGGGTGCATTGGTAGAGCTGATGGTCTCAGGGTCTTGATCTGTGGTCCGTGGAGTCCACAGCTGTTGTTTTTCTACTAGAACTCATACAGACTCTCTGAGAGGAGTAGATCTTGGTAAACCTGCCTTCCCCTTTCCCAGGACTGCTCTTTTCTGTGAGCTAAATGGAAAGCTCACCAAGTCCACCAAGACAAGCAACAGTGAAATGGTTTCTAATTTCCAGCCCTCCTATTTCTTTCTCCAGGCCCCAGGAGTTTTTTGGGACTGACCTAAACTGTGCGCATGATTTCTATTTCTTTCTTATCTATTCAGTTAGTGACTTACTTTCCTCTTCTGTATGTTATAGTAATAGTATCCTACTTCAGATCTTCATTGTGAAAATTAAATAAGATTTACTGAAAAGCATATAGGTCTGATTCCGGCACAAGTGATTAATAAATGTCAGCTATTCATGTGAAGTAAAACAGAAAATTCTTGGTGTATAACAAGGTTTGAGATCCAGAGAAGATCAAAGATAACTAGGCATTCTGAAGTCAATAAAATTGCTCCAAATGAAGTCATGTTGCTAGACTATTTCCAATTTTACCCCCAATTTATGGGAAGATCCTACATAGTCTCAGTGTTACGGTTTATAGCTAGGTGCCCCCACAAGGCTTGTGGACTCATGGGTTGGGCTTTTTGAAGGTGATTGGCTCTGGGGGCTTACAGCTGACCTGCTCTTGGGAGGTGAGATTAATCAGAAGAGGCATGTTACTCTGGGCATGATCTGGAAGGGTCTGTCTACTTTCCCGGCTCCTGCTTGACCTCTCTCTCTGCATCTTGCTTCCTATGCCATGAGCAGTTCTTCTCTGCCTGCTGCCCTGCCTTAGAGCCAGCCAACTGAAACCTCCACAAACTGTGAGCCAATACAAACCTCTCCTTTAACTTGCAGGTGTTGGGTATTTTGTCCCAGCAACGAGAAAAGTAACTAAGATACCCAGAATCCAAATTCCTGCTGTCTGTGGGTAGGGAAGTACCAGACAGAGCTCTGGCCTGGACACCTTCCTTTGGAACTCCGGAACAAAGGAGAGCTTATACCTGAGTCATCTTTTCTTTCTACTCTCCTGTAGCACCCTTTCAAATACTTACAGTGAGAGTGTTCTGTGTTGGGAAAAACAGGGATAAGAGGATGAAGAAGATAAGAGGAAGGAGTCTGAGCCTGCCCTAAACTTGAATAACAATGACCTAAGAATGTGGATCCCTTTGTCTTATCTTTTTGCATGTCATCCTGTACTGGTCAACTGAAATGAATGAGCAGTTAATTTCTTTTTTCCTTCCATTCTATTTGGAATCTACCTCTATTTCAAAGATACAAATGTTCTGGATCAGAGAGCTCTTTGGGGTTCTGATGACAGGTATAATTCCTCTTACTAAATGAAAATACAAACATGCACATAAACACTCACTTTTATAGACAACCATAGGAGTGCACAGACCTCCATGTGGCTCCTAGGAGAACCCCACTGTATCACCTCCTGCATTTTATGCTCAGCAGCTCTTCTACTGGCATCCCATGACTAGGCTGGAACTCTGCAATACAGTGCCAAGGACCCCAGCCCTGGGAGTGCTTTCAGTATTTCCTAGGCATGACCTCTCCCACCACACACCCACAAGCACATTCAGCTCTTAGGGTTCAGGCTCAACTTGCTGGTTTAAGCTTTATTTACATTCAGAGAGTGGCTTCAGTTACCTTCTAGGACCTAAGAACGTGAAGTTAAGGTCTATGTGGTGGGATATTTTTAATCAGATCTCAGAGAAGCTTTTGATTGAGATTTACAGTTAAATGATGCTGATCTCAGTGAAGGCCTTAGGGGGCCAAGGAGTAGGTCTGGATTCCTTTCCACTTACAGCTCTTACCCATCTTACCTGTTTTTTCAGTTCTTCTCATTTCATGCATGTTTTTAAAAATGTACTTGATTGGTTAACACTTCCATGAGCTTCCCAGAAGCTCTTAGAATATGTATCTTCAGAGGTCTGCACTTGGAAGCTTATTAATTAAATTCTGAGAAGTCAAATGTCTTATTACAGAATAGGTGCTACTGAGAAGCCTCTAGAACTAACCCTGGAGGGCAGTGCATGTTAGTTTCATCAATTATATTCATTGCTTTGCCTCCTGGGGGTCTAATCTTTCTAATAGAAAAACAAAACAGAAATTTAACAAAGTTAATTACAGAATAAATCCTTTGTATTTATATTTATTTATAACTATGGCTCGACAGACTTTTTTAAAAAATGATTTAAATATGTTACTTTGCTTTCAATACCAATGTTTTACCCTAAAGAATGATGACCAGTAGTCTAATTTAAATATGTGCTTTGATTCTAAATATTGATAACATGGGCCCCTGTCTTTATATGTAATTTGCTGTTTCGCCTCAAGACAACCTCTTTTCTTGCTATGTTTCATTTTCTACCTTTAAAATGGGGCTGTTGATATCTGTGCCACACCACCACCCAGAAATTTAAGGAAATTGATATTAGAACAGGTGTAATGTTTTGTAACATCTGAGGTTTTGCTACTAGCAGGATGTATACTTTGCATCCCCCAAAACTCTCACACCTCCTCCCCTCTTCATTCCCACTGACCCCAGCACAAGCCAGGCCTTCTTTAACTCCCACTAGGAAAATTGCAATAGCCTCTTGTTTATGAAGCTCAAATTTCCTGCTTTTAATTTATTTTAAAAAAACCACTGTCAGATAGATCTGGTCATGATACCCTTCTGTTCAGAACCTTTACCTGGATCCCCCTTGCTGACTGGTTTTTAAGGCCCCAACGATTTGGCCCCAAAATACCTTTCCACTTAACCTCTAGGATGCCCCAATTTTCAGCATAATTCAGACTGCATCACTATCTCTCCTAAAATACTCCCCTGCTTATTACTGCACTTAGAATAAAATCTCACCCTGCTTTGGCTCCCAATGTCTGGAACGCTCTGTCAGCTAGCTTCTTGTCATCTTCTCCCCTCTGTCATTTCATTCCAGCCCCACTAATGTCTTCATGTTCTTCGAACATTCCATTCTTTGCTCCCACATTAAAGCTTTGAACTAGCTTTTTCCTTTGCCTTTAATGCTCTTCCTCCTGTTTCTCACCAGGTAGTTTTTTTCTGGCCATTCTGCTGCTGGCTTAACCACCATCTCCATAGGTAGTGTGTCTTGACCTTCCTGTCTGACATAAGTCACTTTATCAAATAACCCCACTGTAATTCTCTAACACGCATTTCTGTCTGGTGTTTTCACGTTTACTTGTGTAGTACTGTTGTATATTTGCTGGTGTTTGTTTTATTGTCTTTCTCTCAACAGAATGTATCTTCTTGGAGGACAGGAATTCTGCATGTTTTCAGCATTTTAATTCTGGTCCCTAGAAAAATGCGTGATATATTTTAGACACTTAAGCAACCAACACTTACGGAAATAAATAAATAATGGAAAACACTACCTATATGTGATATAGATAGATAGTAAAATGTTTGTCAATATGAAGAAAAATAGTATCCATCATCTCACGTAGCTGCCTGTTTTTTTTTTTTTTTTTTTTTTGCTTTTTGGTAAGAATAGCTAAAATCCAGGCTGGACATCGTGATGCATGCCTATAATCTCACCAATTCTGGGTAAGGTGGGAGGATCACAATTTCAAGGCCAGGCTGAGCAATTTAAAAAGACCAGTGTCAAAATAAAATTTTTTGCGAAGGGGTGGGGATGCGGCTAACAGCACTTGCCTTGCATGTGCAAGGCCCTGAGTTCAATTTCCATAACCATGCCCATGCCCACATGCAGAGAATCATTAAATCTACTCACTTAGGATGAATCCCATGTATAGTCCCATTTCACTACTTCTAGTCCTCATGTCTCAGTCTGGTCTGTAGACTTGTTCTTCCTACATATCTGCTACTTTACATTGTGGGGAGAGGAAATGGCAAGAATGTTACAGCTTTTTATGGTATTCTAATCACAGTTCACTTCCACTCTGATGTCATCTCTACTATAACCTTAGGTACTTATAATTATCACTTATTTTTCCAATATTTCCTATTAAGCATGTTTCTATCTTCTCTGCCTTTATTCTGTTATTCCTTCCTTCATTCATTCATGATTCATCATTCAGCCATCCATCCATCCATCCATTCACCCATAAAATGCTTATTAAACATTAAGCATCAAGCCTTTGCTCTACCATGGCTGGCAATTCAGTTCTACCTCCTAGTCCTTGCCTTAAAGAGTCCCTGACAGCTGACGTTTGCTGTGCATTTGGGTTGTGGACCTCACACTCAGATGAGATATCAGATATAGAGAGGCTTACTGAGGGCCTCTGGCAAAGAGAGGACCATAAGGAGTCTGAGGGAAAAGAGAAAAATGAGAATCAAATAGGGTCATGAAGGCCAGAACCCAAGGGCAGCCTTATCTCTGCAAGAGAAGGCAGAAGATTGAAGTAGATTCAGACGAAGGCTCAGAACAATTTCTAGGACGCTAGAGAAGAACCAAGAGAAGAGCCTTGAACAGCTTTCAGGTCAAAGGAAGTAGTCAAAGTATCATTACAGGAAGGTCAAGGAAAACAAGGGTGGAAAGTCTTCTCTTGGTACGGTAATTAGCACGTTCTTGTAAAGTTCAAGGAGCATTTGGAAGAACAGTAGGGCCATGGGCAAGAGGGCAAAGGGACCAGGGCAGATGGTTAAGGGGTCAAGTAGTGGCACTGTTTGACTCGGACAGGGCCCAGCTGTGGTCTATCGCACGGACAGAACAGGACTCTCTTTCTGTGGCTGTCAGGAAGCTAGGGCACTCTTGCTGGATTCACCACCTCCCCTCCGAAAAGGGCGGTCAAGGGCGAACACTCACTCCTGCTTTCTCTCTACCCTCTCTTCACCCTGCAGTCCCTTTTAGCTCCCTCAGAAAGTAACAGCAAATGTACCCATGGCCTTAATAGAGGTTTACACAGGCACAGGATGTTATTCTAGAGACCCTGTCTCAGACGCTTTTCCAGCAACTTCCGGTGTAAGCCAGGCTGCCAGAGAGCATTAAGATTAGCAGAGTACTGGGCTGCTCCTCCCGGAGAGGCATTTCCTCTTGCTGTAATACATCACTAGCTTAACAGAGTCTCAACTCCTCAGCCTCCGAGACCCACTACCCTGAAGGCTGTACTGAAGGATAGGGGCAGATCTGATAAGCCCAGCCACCCTAGGGAGTTTCGGTGGAAAATTACTCCTTATGGAAAGTTTCTAGGCCTCATCATTCTCCATCCACCTGCACAAGGCCCATCAGCTGTCACTGAGTCAAAAGGCTGCCTTATGATTCACACAGATTTGAGCCTGGATCCATTCGACACGGACAGAAGTAGTGACTCCACAAGCCTTTTAAAGTTCCCTAAAAAACTGTTGGTGCAGATTTCTTTTGGGGGGGGGGAAGTACTGGGAATCGAACTCAGGACCTTGTGCTTGCCAGGCAGATGCTATGCTTATTCCCGGCCACACAGATTTCTTGAAGACTCCTTATTAATTTCAAACTTCATGCACCTCGCGAGAATAAGACTCACTATGTTAACGTGATGTACACAGGGCAAGGCAGCAGGGACAAAACCCTTAGACTCCCTGAGTCTCACTGCCAGGGAGTGGTAGCCACCCCATTTTGAGCATGACAGTCCAAAAGGCTTGCAGCAGAGTACCGGAGTAATGTTAAGTAATCCTGACAGTCTCTATAGCTCTGAAATAATCTGTGAGAGGTGAGTCTTTGTATCTGGTGAATTTAAAAAACAGAGAGGTATGAGGATATTAAGGCAGGGGGCACACATTGACATACACTTTTCTTTCTTACATGCTGTGCCTTGAACACAATCGCCTCTCTCTCTCTCTCTTTCTCTCTCTCTCTCTCTCTCAGTTTTGTTTGGTATGATGGAGAATCTTTTTTTTTGTTGTTTGTTTTTTTTTTTGGTTTTTTCTCCGGTACCGGGAACCGAACTCATGACCTTGCGCTTGTCAGGCAGGCGCTTTGCCGGTGAGCTAAATCCCCAGCCCCTAATGGAGAATCTTTTGAGGAAATTATATTCAAATGAAATATTTATGAGCTTAAATAAATAAGCAAAAAAAGTAAAATGGGAAACAGCAGCTTGTCTTGGGTTGTTTTGCTTAAACCAAATCTTATTTAAAAGTTTAAACAAACAAGTTAAAACAGGAAGCAGTGAGTAGATCTGGGCATAGCAATAGGAAGTCAGGAGCTGCACCCTCTTACCTCCTCACACGCTCCCCAGTGTTTAGGCAGATAGCTTTTAGGAAAATACACATGTAAAAGTTGAGCTCTAAATGTAGATTTAATTAACACTCTCCTTGCATCTAGGAGAAGTCAGGGTCATCCTGGTTTGAAGATTTCTGCTGTGCACTTGTGATAGTTCTTTTGGGGTACTGAGTAGAATGTTGTAGTAATAACTGCTGGTGCTACAGCACACACAAGGAAAAGTCAGTGGGTTCGAATGGCCCTCTAAGGGAATATTGAGGAAATAAACAGCAAGTACCATAAATCATAATGTTAGCATATTTTCAGTGTTTGATCACAGGTCCTACAGAGGTCAGCTGATTAGTGTTCTAGCTTATAAGTACACAAACACTCAAAGTCAATATTCACAAACTCCTAGATGGAAACTGTGACTTCCTATTGCTCTTGGGTATGACACACCAGTTCGGAAAGGAAGATTATTAGATAATAATGATAGCCATGTTGGTGTGCTTAGTGTTTTTTCTTACACTAAGATGTTAAGAATGTACCTTAAAAAAACAATGGCAGCACAAAATAGTTACTTAATAAATACTTGTTCTGAAGAAAGAAATATGCTCTGTCCTCAGGCTTGTAACCAGGTCCATGTGTACAAGGAATTAAGGGGAGAACAGTGAGATACCAGGGGGAAGCAGAGGGCCTGCTCTATCCTTCCCGTGGAGACAGACAAATTATCTCAACTAATGATTCCTAAGTGAATTTTTTTGGCGAAGTTAGTTGTACATACATCCTAGCCTAAGAGGAACTTTTGTTTTCTTGTTTCAGGCCAACTGCCTAAAAGCCACTTGGAACCTGAGATTCCAAGGAGCAGTCTTCACAGCTACCCAACTCCTCTGGTTTGCTGCCTTTATCTCTGGTAAGCTTGAGGCTAACTCTTCACCAGGTCCAGAATAATTTGTGTAGAGTCCAGAGTAAATGGGAAAAGTTGAGGATCACAGCCAGCTGTAAATGGGAAAATTTTCCAAGTCCAGATTCTTGGAACAAAACACACTCAATACCATTATGCTACTAGAAAAGACTTCAGAAGCAAACTGATACATCCGGACCACGGTAGCACAGGCCTACGATACCTTTAGAGACACACATAATGGCTGAATTTTTTAAAAATAATTTCTTTGAGGTCAAAGAAGATGTTGTAATATATAATATTAATACATTCATCTTTATGTTACCTACATCTATGAAAGTCCTTGCGCAGCACTGGCCACATCCAAATAAAATCTTAAGGTAGAACAACGCCAGCACTCTCAGGGAGGAAGGTAGAAATGTGAGTGATTCCCACACAGGCAATAGGGGAGAAAGCTGAGAAGAAATAAGGCTTCGTAAACAGGAAACAGAGCCATTTCCAGGCCAGACTGCTGCCTTGTGCACCTCGTTGCTTGAGAACTGGTCTCCCTCGCCCCGATGAGGCCCCGCAAGCTGCAATAACAACATTCCAGGGCCTTTATACCTCTGAAGGGCACATTCTGTATTTCACTGGTATCACAAACACTCGTAAAGAAGGGCCCATTTTAACAAGTGAGTAAGCAGGCATGAAGGAAGTGGGGTCATTTGTCAAGGAAAAGCAGCCAAGAGAAGTGGGGTGAGCATAAGCCTGGGAATCACATCTTCCTTCTGATTCTGGCTCTGCCACAACCTGCTGGGTGTCACTCATGCCACAAACATTTATGCAATGTCTACTAAGTGCCAAGGGCTCTGCTTGGTGCTAAGGACCCAGATTTAAAAAGAGACCATCAGGGATGCCCAATCCCACAGGTAGGGACCATATCACAGTGACAGGCCCTCCAGTGGATGGCAGTCAGGGCAGGGGAGGCACAGTGTGGTACAGTGCGAGCCTGGAAGGAGAAACACCCAGCTTGTCTGGGCGGGTCAAGGAGCGCAGGGAGAGGAAGGTTTGCCAGGTACAGGGACAGCAGCAAGGCTATGTGCAAAGGCAGGGAAGTGGGAGTTCCATGAGACTAACAGTGTAAATAACACCAGGCAGCAAGCCTCCTCCAGCGAGCAGGTCCACACGGCACAGCATCTTTTTCCCTCTGAAAAGCAGGACCTGACACCAGATGTTTTAGGTGTCATTAAATCTGAGCTTGGGAAAATTACTTAATATATCTCCTTCATTTATAAAAGGAGAGGAGAAAATTCAGTGGCCTCTAAATGCCCTTCCAAATATAGCAGCTTTAAAAAAAATAGTACATGTCTGAGGTACATTATGGCTCCATTCAGTTTAGGGAGTTGGTACATATACACAAGGCTCTTGATGAGTTTTACTCCCACTTTGCTCCCCTTCCCACTCCTCCATCCTTCCTCATATTCCCTCCCAATTTCCATACAGTCTTCTTCCCTGATTTTTACCATCTCTCTTTTATTTTGTTCTTTTAACTATTTATACATTGGGTCTCTCATATTAGAGAAACTGTGTGATACTTAACCTGTGGTGCCTGGTTTATTTCATTTAGTAATATGGTACCAAAGTGCATCCATTTTCCTATGTATGACTTAAAGTTATCCTTCTTTGTGGCTGAATAGTATTCCATTGCATATATTACTACATTTTCCTTATCTATTCATCTGCCCTTCCAACTGTAGTATTTTATGATTCCAAATCTTTAGTATGAAGAATCTTCACAAGAAGACATTTTCCTATTCTGACTTTACATATACTTTTAGATGAAACTTAGAAACCATTCTTTTTCCTTAAGATAACCACATTCCACCTAAAATAGTCATGTTTTTGGCATTCATCATCTGGTCATAAATTCCTCTGACTCCACAGAAGTGTGCTTAGGGCCACAGGCTCCTTCTGGGCAGGGATACTAAAGTGGTATTCATCTTTCTCTGCTCTAGAGCTAACTAATCAGAAGGAAGTGGCAGCATGGACCTATAATTATACCACAAAGACGTACTCATGGAATCATTCCCGGATGTTCTGTCAGAGGCACTACACAGACTTAGTGGCCATCCAGAATAAAAATGAAATCGCCTACCTCAATGAAGTCATACCCTACCACAGCTCGTACTACTGGATTGGGATCCGGAAGATCAATAATACGTGGACCTGGGTGGGAACCAAAAAGCCCCTCACAGACGAGGCAGAGAACTGGGCCGACAATGAACCCAACAACAAGGGGAACAACCAAGACTGCGTGGAGATGTACATCAAGCGGCAGGATGCCGTTGGCAAGTGGAACGACGAGCCCTGCTCCAAAAGGAAGCGGGCCTTGTGCTACACAGGTGGGGCCCTCTCCATGGAGTCATAGCTGGTAAAACGCCAGGCCTGCCTCGCTGCTGACATGCAGTCAGTGAGCAGGGACACAAAACCCCAGAGTAGCCTGTTAAGCAGTGTGATTGAGCACCTTACCGAATCTAACAGCAGGGTTAAAGAAGGCTAGTTGGCTGTTTAACTAGAGGGGATTTTAAATATCACCTGGCAACTTATACCTGGTGAAATAGAGACCCGGGATGTTCTAGCTTCTTAAGGTCATGGATGAGGGCAGAAACAAAGTTAGGGCTGCAAACTCATTGCTTCAGTTTTAGGTCTAGATTCTGGGTGTCCAACCCCTGGTCGCTTGGGCCACACTGAATGAAGAGGAGTTGCCTTGGACAGCATATAAAATATACAGTAGAGTTAAGGTATTTAAATAACACAACTTCCTTTTAAAATATTTTAGTATAACATTTTTAAAAAAGGTAAGCGCCCCATGGCCCACAAGTTGGACATGGCCAGTGAGTTTTCCTCACCAGTATGCCCTAGTGTAAGGGAGGATATACAGTGGTGATCAAAATATAGAGTGACTGTTTACATTTTAAAAGAAAAATATTATAGTACATGCCACATTGCCCTTCAGCCCCTGAAAACACTCTCCCTCTATTCAAACACACTTAGCCCATCATCCTTGCCATTTTCTGAGTGGTCCTGGAAGTCTTCCTTACAGAGACTCTTTACTGGGTATGACAAAAATCACTATGAATTCAGTTGTTGATGCCATCTAATAGAAAGGCAGGCTCAGCAACACATCACGGTGTTCCTCATCCAACTTATTCTCCAGATCTGGCACCATATGACTTCTGGCTCTTCCCCAAAGTTAAAATGACCATAAAAGGTGAACCTTTTTAATCATTGAGGACACCAAGACGGCCACCACAGCATAACGAAAGACAAGGTCAAAAGACTCCCAGAATTACTTCAGAAAGTGGCCAGGAAAGTGGGCTGCATTTTAAAAAGGGAGTATGGGGGGTGGTAATGGTAATATGTTTTCTACTGTAATAAGTTTTTACTTGAAATTTAAACATTCGCTGTGGTTTTCAATCACACATCATAAATTGGGAGGGAATTTAGTGCTACCCCTAAGAGACACTGCTGTAATACCTACAGACTGCCAAGATGTTCCGGTGCTACAGTTACTTTGTGCTGTTAGCTACTCTTGTTCTTGTGTCATTGTTCATTTAGTATTCTCTGCATTTAGTCCTCCTGTCCAGCTCATCACTTAGGCCCTCCTATTACTCTTGTCTTGTTGAAGCCGGAAGTGCTCAGCGCTATTAAGTTCTTGACCCCCAGTCCTGAGTTAATTATTGTTAAAGCCAGATTCACACGCACGTTGACCCCAAAATTGGTGTTCTTAGCTCCGTGCCACACATTCTTTGCTCAGCATTTTTGTGAGACAATTTGAGAATGTGACCAAGAATCACAAATGCTTTACAGACCATCCTCAAAAGCAAAACAGCTTCAGGTTCACTGAACTTTGGTGGGAGGGAGGAGTCCAGGTAGAAAATGAAGCGCTGCAGGTGCGATCACAGGAGTGCGTTTGAGTCCCTCCTCTCCCAGGTCCAGAGTTGCAGACGTGCATGGAAGCATGGTCTTCCTGTGGCCACAAGCCTTTGACAGCATCTTCCTGATATTTCCGTGGGGGAGGGGTCCTACCCTTTGTATTACATGACGCAGTGGCTAGGGACAGTCTGCACTTTCCCAAGCAAGGGAGTTCTGAATACAGTACTCAGATGCACCTTTGAAAAATCACCTTACAGATGCCATGCTCTGCTATATATGTTCTAAATTCTTTAGATTTTGCTATCCCAGAGGTGCTTAACAATACACAGTATTAAACAGAACAGAGCATAGAGTATTCTCCTTCATTTTTTCTCTTCTCATCCAAGCTGTCTAGGTAAGGGAAACATGTTCATGAATTCCTTGTCATGTAATCAGGTATTATTTTGTAAATAATGTGTTCATATATTAATTCATTAACTAATAGCCATTTATAGGATATGAGCTCATCCTAAGGTCTGTTCTTATCTTTCTTGGGCTATGTCTCCCTAAAACTATCCCAACATGTGCTAGGGCTTACTGCAGAGGAAATGACCACTTGAAAACAGTCCAGCACCCACTCTGACCTCATAAATGAAAAAAAAAACAGTAAGGATATTTTCAGTTAATTCACAGTATCAGTTCTAATGCTAAACCTCTACCAAATGTGTAGGCCCTCAACCAGTCTCTTGCAGGAAAGAAACCTGGTCCTTCTCTATCCTGCTTTTCAGTGCCACAGATAGCCAGGAAGGGTTGGCAGGTCAGCCAGGGACTGTACCATCTAAACATGACATATTCAGCAATCTGACATATTTAGACCTATGAAACCTCCTAAAATTGTTTGCCCTTGGTCATCGCAGGGTCTAAGCATCACATTTGGCTTCTCTGCTCTTTCATTATATGATATTGGGCATAGATTTGAAGCAAGCAAACAAAAAATGGAAGGGATTAGGCCCTGATACTGGGCAAGCTGGGCTCAGAGAAGTAACTTCTGAAGACCACACAGTGAGTTTGCTGCAGAGCCAGGATTCAGACCCTAAGAGTGTGGTCCCTCCTCTATATCGGGTTCCTTATCTCTAGGCTACAACATCTGGTATGAGGCATTAATCCTCTTGGTTAGAAAACTGCAACCCAAACATACCACATAGAAGAGCTCCTCTGTCCAGACAGCCTTCTGTGGCTCTGTTCAGCCTTCTGTGTCCACACACAGCACTGTTCCTTTAGGAAATGCTAAATGCACCAGGAGCCAGGAGCCAGGACTCCTCTCAAACTCCTGCAGGGCCTTTTGTAGGGGACAAGGCGGCTCTGGAGATGGCACTGTTGCTGTCTGTTGTCTGGCCAGCTCATTCCTGCCTGAGAGGGGCTGAGTCTGTGCCCATCGCAGCAATGCCCATGGTTCTAACCCATCTGTATCCCTGCAGCCTCCTGCCAGCCCACATCTTGCAGCCAACAAGGGGAGTGCATAGAGACCATTGGGAACTACACCTGCTCCTGCTACCCAGGCTTCTACGGGCCGGAGTGTGAATACGGTGAGGCTGCTGCTTTGTTGGTAACATTTTGGCCACTGGGCTAATGCCACAGATGATGCCAGGAAGTAAATCAGGTTGGTGACTTTCAGACTAGTCGCAAGCCCCTGCTTAAGTCTGTCTGTCTGCTCCATCCAATCATCACTAGACAGTCTGGGTAAAATTACTTTACTCTTGTAGAGAGCCTTCACTCATGGCAGGAAGTGGCAGTTTACACGTGTAATCTCAGCACTCCTGGAGGATGAGGCAGGAAATATTACAAGTTGGAACCTAGAATGGGGAATTTAGAGATTTAGTGAGATCCTGTCTTAAAACAAACAAAAAAAGCATGTGGGTGTAGTTTAGTGCAAGGCCTGGCTTCAATCCTTAATATTCCACCACCCAAAAAATGTCTCATGAAATTTCAGACAAAAAAGGAAATATAAAAATGGCAAGACTAAGAGAACCTTGCCAGGCTAATTTTACATGACTGAAATTAAAAACAGCAGAAGAATGACTATTTCCCAACATGCAGACAATGTGAAGGAGCCAAGTAAGAATGGGCAGCGTGGGTGAAATGTCTGGAAGGACAGGCTAAAGGGAGCTACACAGTGAGTTACTGCCTGCAGCAAATTTGACAGTGTCTTTCAGTCTACAATGAAAAATTTCAACATTTTGTCCCTCACAGTTAACGAGTGTGGTGCATTTGGTCTCCCTCCACACGTATCCATGAACTGCAACCACCCCCTGGGGAACTTCTCTTTCAACTCGGAGTGCACTTTCCACTGCACTGAAGGGTACGAGCTGGATGGGCCCAGTGAGACAAAATGTCTGGCTTCTGGAATATGGACAAATAAGCCTCCACAGTGTGTAGGTAGGTACACCTTATCCCTTCCTTCCTCACTGGTAAGGGGGATTTTGCAGAGCTGGGGGGATGACCTTTCTCCATCCAAAAATGGGAGAAATAATGAAAATCGACATTAAATGGCCAGGTCTAGTTATCCCTGTTATTTGTCAACCAGAACAACACAAATTTTATTTTCAAGGTATTTTGTAACTACAGAGGTGGTGAGTCCAATTCCTGATTCTGCTTTTCCTTTGTTAGTCACGAAGTAATGAGAGTGCAGTGGTGAGGACGTGGCTATTGGACAATTAATTTGGTAAATTAACCTTAGCTTCTTTAAATGAAAAACAAGGGTGTTTGGGTCTTTGCAAATGGCTGTTTAAAATGCCATTTAAGCACCGAGTGCCTCTCCTTGCCTGTCACTCAGGAAAGTGTAGCTGCAGCAGCATCCTAAGGCTTCCAAGGTGCTGTGCATGACTTGCCCAAGAATTCCCATCACCACTCTGGAAGCCCGACCTGTCTTTGCTCTGCAGTGTCCTTGCACCAGCAAAGGTATAGCTTTAGTCATGAAGAGAGATTTGCAGAGTCGAGCCAGAGGTGGTACAGTGCAGATCCTTGGGCTGGGTTGAACCCCCAACCCCCATGTGAAGGGGAGTGTCAGGACCTAGGACATAGCTACTACACTCCTGGCTGGGAGAGTAAATAAAACTGGTCATCTTATGGAGAAGTTGGCCTGAACTGCCAAAATTTAATCCCCCTTCCACCTGCCCCTAGCTAGTTGGGTAAATCTAGGATGAGAAAATGCTATCAGGCTAGAAAGGCAAGAGGCTGATTTTACTATGAACAAAATGAAAAAGTATTCTCTTCTCCCAAACTCAATCCACGAACAGTTTCAGAATGGCCTCATTCACAGATCCCACATGAGAAGGAAGAGGGCAGCATCCACATCTGTAAACAGACACTAGAAGACCTACTGGGACAGGTTTATAAAGGCTTAAGAAATAGAGGCTGTTAGGGTAGAGCTTGGAAGCTTGGTATATGCCTATAATCCTAGCACTCTGGGAGGATGAGGCAATTTAGCAAGACCTTGTCTCAAAAGAAATTTTTAAAAATGTTTTTTTAAAGGGCTGGAGATATAGCTCAGTGCAAAGGCCAAGTTCAATCCCCAATACTAGCAATAGAAGGAAAGAAAGGAGGGAGAGAAAGAGAGAAAGAGGGAGGGAGGGAAAGAAAGAGGGAAGAAGGAAAGAAGGAAGGAAGAAAGGAAGGAAGGAAGGAAGGAAGGAAGGAAGGAAGGAAGGAAGGGAGGAAGGGAGGGAGAAGGAAAGCAGAGCTTGGAGTAATCTGTGTTCTTAGGAGATCTGATTTTTTTGGGGGGGTTTGGTTTTTTTCTGGTACCAGGAATCAAACTCAAGACCTTGCACTTGCCAGGCAGGCGCTGTGCCACTGAGCTAAATCCCCAGCCCCCTCTTAGGAGATCTGAGTCCTGCAGAAGATAATCCTCCCTGTCTGGACACTTGGGGCCTCCTGACCCTTCGGTCTTCCGAGCCCCACCTCTGCTTACACAGGCGGTTTACCATTGCTTTTCACCTGTGGTGTGGTTTTCCCTCATCGTCAATACTTTTCTCTTTCTTTGTCCTTGGTTGTTCTGTCCAGCTGTGCAGTGTCAGCGCTTGGAAGCCCCTGGCAGTGGAACCATGGACTGTGTACATCCACTCGCCCCCTTTACATATGGCTCCAGCTGCAAGTTTAGGTGCCAACATGGGTACCGAGTGAGGGGCTTGGACACACTCCGCTGTGTTGGCTCCGGCCAGTGGACCTCACCCTTGCCAACCTGTGAGGGTAAGAATTCTCTTTAGCAGCTCCCAGTACACCCATGAAGGAGTCATAGCACAGTAGAAAGACCAAGGGCTCTTAACATCAGAGTGACCTTTGTTAGGCTCTGAGACTAGAGCCAGGGCATTACTCATCTGTGAAAGGGAGCAAGGTGCATTGTGAGGATTAAGTATATAAGAAGAATGCACTGAAATAGCATGTGCAGAGTACTAGCATAGAGGTGGCACTTGGAGTTTAGTTTCTGACTCTTCTTCAGTGTATCCAAGCTGCAGGACAATGCACTGTGCTTGAGAGGGAGTTAGAGCACCGGCTATTAAGACAGACAGATTCCCAACCACAGACTTTGGAGGTAGCCTTTGGCAAAGGAGCAGAGAAACACTGCATTAAAGAAGAGCATGCGATGCAATCCTAAGCAGTTACATAATATCCCAGAACTGAATTCTGCACTTGCCTTACACCCTTGGCCTATAAGGCAGAGAAGGGGAAGAGTGGAGTAGGAAAATGCTTACTGGAATTAATGAATTTGCAGACTGAAGTCATGAGCCCAGCTCTGGTATCTTCAGCTACGGGATTTTAGGGAGGTCATTTAATATTTCTGAACTGCACATATCTCATCTGTAAAGCAAAAGAGATGCACTAGAGGATCTTTGTTCCTTAAATGCCTCAATTCTATAAAACCAGAGGCCAAAACCTCAGGAATACCCTGGACCTAAAAAGCCTCCAAGGGAAAGTACAGGAAAACGCGTATTTTCAGAACCTAGGTCATCCAGAGTGTAACGCTCTCAGGAACTCACTTTGGGCTGTGCTCACGGGGCAACCGAACTATGATTGGGATGACATCCTGTGCCCATGAGACAAAGACCTTTGGGATCATTTTACAGTACTAGGTAGCAGTGCCAACAATAAGCTATGCAATTTCAGAGTTTTCCTTATAAAGCCAGCCTTTTTCTGCACCTATTCTTTCCAGATCCAAGAAACATGCCGATCCGCATTTAAGGGACACTTTGCTGTACCCGACAGCAAAGGCTAGGCTCTGGGATATGACTCTGAATGGCCAAGCACAGCCTTAAGGACACCATGGGGTACCAGTGTGAATGGCACAAGAGCAGGGATCGTGGGAGCGCACTGGAGCAGCTCCTGCCCTTCATCGGGGTGGCAGCAAGGGCATCCGAAGGAAAGGAAGTCTGAGCTGAGACCCAGGGTGGGTGAGGGAGCCAGATGGGGCATACCAAAGGCAGATTTCCTTTTGGAAAAGAAGGATTTGAGGCTGTGAACCTAGTGACAATGTAGGTAGGAAAGACATAGAATCTCCCAGGAGTCTCTTCTGAAAAAGAACGGGGCCCTTCCTTCTATGACTCAGCCTCCAACAACCTTTTCCCTACAGCCATCACATGCAGCCCTTTGGAGAGCCCCATCCATGGAGGAATGGAGTGCTCACCCTCGTCAGCAGCATTTCAGTACAACACCAGTTGCAGCTTCCATTGTGCAGAGGGCTTCATGCTAAGAGGAGCTGATGTCCTTCAGTGTGGTGACCTGGGACAGTGGACAGCACCAGCCCCAATCTGTCAAGGTACTGTGACACTGACACACTTCTGTGCCTTCCAGTCACTAAGGGCATCACCAGCTGCATTTAGCACTGTCACTGGCTTATCCAGGAGACATCTGCCGAGAACCTACCATGCACCAGGCCCTTTGGGCACGGCACTAGAGTCATACTGGTGAGCAAAGCCAGTCTCAGGCACAACACATTCATTACAGGGTAGTCAAGTTTAGGGTCTTTGGATTGACAGGTATGGGATTGGTAGAGGAGCTGGAGATGGGGGAAAGGAATGGTGCAGGAGGAACAGCATGGACGGGGAAGAGGAATGCACAAGGCATTTGGTCCAGGTCTGTCATTCTGGCCACCAAGCTACTGGACTCTCTGAGGCTCAGAATCTTCTGTAAAATGGGGGACGCTGTTATTTGCTTTACTTTCCTACCTCACTGGTTGTTGTGAATTAACGTGTAAAAGCAACTTTAAAATGTCTATCAGCTGTATATATATTTAAAAAATGATGATACTATTACTTCATAAGTCATATGTCTGTGACTGACTTGACAAAATGACTCTCTTTCACTACTTCATGTTTTCAATATTTTACTCTTAAGCAAGAACTACAGCACAGGGAATTCACTAGGATTGTTTATTTACAAACTGTACCCCACACAGTTTAGTATAATACTGGCATTTCATGTTGCCATTTACTGAGATCTCTCAGCAATTTATCAGTTCTCTGGTCTACATCTACCCTCATTTTATAATGAAGCAGTGGTTTGCAAAGTTTTGTTGAGATATTTGTACACCCATATTCACAGCAGCATTATTCTCAATATGTAAGATGTGCAAGCCATCCAAGTGAAAACCAATAGATGAATGGAAAAACAAATGTGGTATACCTACAACAGAACAGCACTCACCCTTAGACAGGAAGGGAATTCTGACTCATGCTGCAATGCAAATGAACTTTAAGGACATTATACTATGTTCCTTCAAACCAGTTCCATTATACTATGGTCCATTAAACCAATTCCTCTGAAACAAGTACCATATGATTGTACTTACAAGGGTTTATCACAAAATACAGTGTGCATTTAAAAAATGAAAAACAGTAAGACCTATTGGCATCAGTCCTCCTCAAAATACTTCCCCTTACTTCAAACCCACTCATCCTATCATCCTTGCCATTTTCTGAAACAGTTTGGAAGTTCTCTTTCCTGAGTATCTTCATGAGATGTGATATTAAAAAAAAATACTATGAACGCTGCTGCCGGGTGCCATCCACAGGAAAGGCAGGCTTGTAAAACCATCATGGTGTGTCCTCATCCACATTATTCATTAGTTTTGGCACTATTTGACTTCTGGCTCTGAAAGTCAAAATGACCGTGAGAGGTGAATATTATGAACCATTCAGGACGTCAAGGCAGCCACAACAGCACAACTAAAGACAAGAGGACTTCCAGAACTGCTTCAGAAAGTGTCAAAGGCAATGGAATAAGTATTTCTGAAGCAAAGGAGAGTATTTTGAGAGGGACTAGTAGCAATGTGTCTTTTATTATAATACATTTTTAAAAATTTTTAATATATATTCACTGTATTTTTCTATTGCAACTCAGAGAATGCATGCCCTCTCCATATATGAGTATCTAGCTACACGATTAAGATCATGGTGTAACTGATTATGTTCATTATTTTTATTCTGCTTTTTCACTTAGGAGCATACATTGAGATATTTCGTCTATCTTTCCAAAGTGAAATATATAATTTTCAGAGACCATTAATGTTCTTTTCAGAGATCATTATAATTTATTTGCAGCCCCAGATTAGTGATATTTATGCTTGTTTTTAATATTTTGGTCTTACAAATAATATCAATGAAATCTCTGAACTGATCTTTGACTTCCATCTTTATTATACTTAGCAGAGATCCTTGGGTTCAAAAGTCTGATAATTTAAGAATTATTGATACATCTTGCCAAAAAACTCCTTAATGGTTTAATATTTTCCTTACAAAATCTTCCAGGTCCCATTGAACAATACATTTTTCATTTTCCAAAATAAGTAAACTCAACTGAGGAAGCCCCGTTTTTGGCACTAGAAAAGATAAACGTGTCAAAACCAGCAAATACTTACGTGTTGCTGCTCCCTCACCCCTACATTTCTTCACCCTTTAGCTTTGCAGTGCCAGGACTTCCTTACTCCAAGCAAGGTCCAGATGAACTGCTCCCACCCCTTCGGCGCCTTTAGGTACGGGTCAGTCTGTGACTTCACCTGTGATGAAGGCTCGCTCCTGGTGGGAGCAAGTACACTACAGTGCTTGGCTACAGGACAATGGAGCGCTGCCCCTCCAGCATGCCAAGGTAAGAGGACATTCTTTCCAACCTCTTGGAAATAAATTGCAGGCAATGTTTTTAAAGGCTGTATTTTAGAGTAAAAATAGCATCTAGAAAGAAGGAGGAAAAACAGTTTTAGAATGTTTGTCCTGTGGTTGATCTGGCACTTTCCCTCTAGGAGCCATGGAGAGGAATGGCGGAGTGGGAGGGGCAGACTTTACATGTGTCTCATTGAAACACACTCAGAAATCTATCAGTATAATATTGGAGAAACACACTTAAGATAAAGTGGAGGATGATGGACAGAGAAAGAAACTACTCCATAAGCCAGGGGCTGCAGAACTCACAGAACAAAGAAACAAATAGTTCAAATGTATTTATATCTGCACTGCACTTGATAGTTAAAAGCCCATGTAGTCTGTCAATATTGTAACATCCTGCATGAAACAGAATGGGTTTTCATCCTCCATGTTTAGATGTATGTCTGTATATTCTCAATTCACTTTTTTACTCAATTATCCAACTCTTTAGTTACATTTATGGCAAACACTGATTTTTTTTCACAAAGCAAGACTTTCATTTACTAAATTTACAGAAGGATAAGAAAATAGAAAAATGAAGAATATTCTCTTAAATATCTCCACCCTCACATAGTTAGCATTCTGGTATGAATTCTTCTGAATTACCCCTGCCCCGCCATTAGTGTTTTTATCATATATATATATACACACACATACACAATATTAATAATAAAACTGAATGTGTAAAAGATGAAATATTTCTGCATTACTTGCCATAACTTTCACAGACTTTCAATATCTGAGAGAAAGCAGGCAGATTCATGTTTTCTAAGAAGAGGAAACCACTTGCTATTCAGGTCATGCACAAGTTCATGTGTGTGTGCGTGCGTGCGCGCGCGCGCACACACACACACACACCCTATACTGTTAGGTCCCTCACACAGTAAATGAATAAATAATTGAGTTAATTAATGAACAAATGGCCAAATGAGTGCAGCAGAATGCAATGTCTTTTGTCCCAAGGCCTGAGAGGGCACGGCAAGCCACAGGGCTGAGGAGGGACCCAGTTCTGAGTCTGGAGCGAACTGGGGGGGCTGTGACCTTGCTCCTCAGCCCCGTCCTGGCCACAGTGAAGCCTGGCTATGTGACAAAGTCTGCACAGCCCTGGGGGAGAGCTGGGAGTCCCTTGGAGGGCGATCACAGAGATGGTAGCCCTTCTGGGAAACGCTGGCTGTGTAAGGCATGGATTACTCCATACTGTCCTGCCTGAGATATTTCAGAGAGATGTGGTTGCCACTCACCCCAGCTTCCTGTGACCTTCCAGTTTCCCTTCTGCTTTTCACTTTTTGTTTACTCTGACTGATCTTTCTCGTTCTGTTTCTGGGTGTGCAACAAGTGCAATACCCAGTTGTGGTCTGCACAGGAAGGGACCATGAGGCTTGTAATCCACTTCCTGGCTATTACAACACTCCTGAGCATGTTATCAGACAATTGCCCTTTTCATCCCCTCCCCACTTCTCCACATTCACCTGTGCTGGGCAAAGGCAAAGCCCCAAAAGCTGTAATGCCCTGAACATGCCCGACTGCATCTGATCTCACAAGCTAAGGAGGGCTGGGCCTGGTTAGTACCTGGATGGACAGGAATGTAGCGAGAAAGGGCAAGGGAAGGCAAAGATACATAATACACTTCCGAAACCTTACGCCATTCAGTCAGTGGTTAAAAATGGTCCTAGGACGGACACCACCACTGTCTCTTGCCTAAAGCCACACCTTGTCAACCAGGACAGACAAAGAGGAAGAGATATCTGAAACCATATGTTCAATTACTCTTTACTTTTAAATGTTAATATGTTTAATCTGGGCTTTATTATTTTGTTAACTGGTAGAGGGACAGCTTGACAGGTATTAACATTTGCATTGACAGTGTTTTCACTTTTGATCCTAGTAAGAATCCTGGGAGCTATGTAATACTAGTTTCCCATTTTGAGATCTTGAAATTCAGAAAGGTTAAGCAAGTTGCCAAAAACCACACAGCATGATCACTAACATAAGCAAGTCCCTCAGCAACAAAAATTTGTTTATAAACTGGCAAAAATAAAAACCAACCCCATGAGACCTAATTTAACCTCTTATAAAATCATTTCTGTTGGGAACAGGTGTAAATTAACATTTGAAGACAGCTGATGAATTATGTGCCTACTTGTAGTTATGATTTTTTATTGGACTTTAAATTTAATATTTATGTAGATTAATTAACTTGTTATATAGCTAAGTCTACCTGCAAGGAAAGGATTATGCTTTTTCCTATGTCAAAGATGAAGCAACTGAGGCTTAGAACATATAGTATACAGAGATATATTGCTACACATTGCTAGCAAGTAACAATATGAACCTAGATTCTTTCCACCATTTGGTTGGAGAGAGGAGAGAAAGTCATTCACTCCATTCTTCTGTTCCCATTCATTGTTTTCTGGCCGGGTCATTAGGTCTGTTTGAAGGAGATATCAGGCAACCACTCCCACTCCCAACTAGGGCAGCCGAAAGAAGCTGCACGGCTCTCTCCAAACACAGCCCTAACTGCCTCCTAAAATCCCCTTCCTAGCTCTCTCTGGGTGGCATTTCTGAGCATCAATCAACTGTCAACTGCTGTCTTACAGTTGCATAACGTCTAGCAGGAGATAGCACTGGGAAATTGGCATACTCACTTTCACGCAGTGCTGCTGCGCTTGTGTATTCAGTGTGTGTGTGCCTGTCTCTCTCTCTGTCTCTCTCTCTCTCATACACACACACACACACACACACACACACACACACACACCATTGGTGTCAGGCTGTAGAGTACTAACCTAGTCTCTTCTCTCCCCTGTCATGCCTACTGCAGCCACTCCCTGCACCCCCTTGCTAGGCCCTCAGAATGGAATGATGAGCTGCATCCAGCCTCTCGGGAGTTCTAGTTACAAATCCACATGCCACTTCGCCTGTGATGAGGGGTTCTCTTTATCTGGATCAGAAAGAGTGGACTGCACTCCATCTGGACACTGGACAGGCTCCCCACCAACGTGCACAGGTAGGTTCTGGGTCTGTTTCTCCTGACAGCTTCTCAGGCAGCACTAGAATGGAGCAGCATCAGGGAGTTACACAACTGTGTTCTTGAGCTAACGCATGGCAATATATACCACGGTGTGTCTCTGTCTCTGTCTCTGTTTGTCTGTCTCTATCTCTCCCTCCCTCTCGCTTTCCTGAATAATCTTGTAATACACTGAGCTAAACATTCCACAGTTATATGAGGTACTGTTATATCATCATGATGTTAACCACAGCAGCATCTCCATTTTATACAGGAGAAAGAAACACAGACTCAGATAGGTTAGGTCATTTGTCCAAGGTCACACAGTTAGAAAGTGATAAAGTTCAACTATTTCACTGAAACTTTTATTTCCTCATATAGTCTTTTTCTGTTACACCATTCACTCAGTCATACACCCATCTTTACTGAGCACTAAATCCCCCACACTGAGCCTTTCGGGATGGGTGTGATTTCACTGTGGACTAACTGTACACTGACTCTGCCCTCTACTTCTCTATGGGTTACAAAGCACTTGAGGACAGGTGCTGTTTTTCCTTCTTATATCCTCTGCAGCAGCTAGACAGAACAGAGTAGCTCATACAGATATCTGTTCTACTGAAGCTTATTGTTTACTCTTAAAATTTCCTCAAGCACAAGCCCTACTGACCATGAATTCATAGAGTCCTCAAAGGCAGGGGTGAATCCTGTCTATCTTTATCAACCCAAACACCTGGCCAGCACAATATCTCGCTTAGTGCATAGTCTGTCATTCCTCCCCCTTAGCTTCAGGAAGCACCACTGGTATTCCAGTGTACTCTTTAGTGCAGTCAGTAATAACAAGACTGGAATTAACAGTGAATATTCATTGCTTGTGTAGTACCAGCTGTCTCTTGGGAATTTTTTCACTCAGTCCACACAACCATTCCTCCCCTTAAGATGCTTACTATTATCTCCGTTCTGAAGAAGACAGTGAGGCTTTACAAGAATGAGTAGCTGGCAAAGACATATAACTAGGAGGTTATGAGGGCAGGAGTCAAACCCAGGCTTGCCTACAAGGTGTATTCACCATTACACTGCACTGCCCTCCAGTGGCAAGGCTTCTAAATCCTGCGTCTGTCACCTGTAAATTTACTGTCTTCCATTCCACAGGCTGCAACCTCAACTGCTAACATAAATCTTAGAAAAGATAGCGTGTGGTAATCAGATGAGCGATTATATCAGTAGCAGTGTATTAGTGCAACAAGCACTAGATTAATATCCCAAGATGGATATTGCTCTCCAGACCCCTACCCCATCACGGGGCATTAAGGTCTTGTCACTCTCTTAAGCTTCCTCAGTTTAAAAACAAAATCAACAACAACAAACAAGAGGCGTAGGCAGGATCACCTCTGAGGCTTCCTCCACACTGAAGAACTCTGTAGGTTACAGGGCGTGGAATGCTTCCATCTGCTGTGAAGTTTCACAACAAGCCACCCTGGCAATGTGGAACATTAGGGCTTGTGCTTCTTTGTTCATTCATTCACTTCTCTCTCTAAGTCATTCATTCCACTGACATTTATCAGGGACTCCGCTACCTGATATTCTCTTTTAAGGCCAAAGAATCAAAACTCCCTAAAAATATCTCATGAAAGTGTTAAATCATCTATGCAAACAATATGGTTACTAAATCTGTGACCTCTGAAGCCCCGATTCCCTTTCACTTCTGTTCAGTCCTCTTCTCCCCCCACAAGAAGTGGCATTTGCCTCTCCTCTGTAGGCCTAGCCACCCCAGTGCTTCCCCGGGACTGGAACTGACCCTCACCATGGACAGTGCCTGTGGCCAAAGATGGACCTCAGAACTGTTAACCTTTATCCTGATTTTGAGATATAATTTCTGTTATTGGTTTTGTTGTGTTTTTTTGCCTGTGTTCCTACTTCATCTTTCAAATTTATCCTCTAGATTTTGGCACATGCTTGTTCTCTTTTCCCCATACATCTGAGTCCTTAGATTTTTAATCCCCAGCACCACCCTCAGCAATCACCTATCAAAACAATTTTGAAGAGAAACTGAGGTGGATAAATAGAAATTCATATGTTCATCAACCTGGCATTTGGTTATTGAACACCATCATCCCCTAAGAAGATCCTGCAGTGGGAATTAAGGGCAACCAAGACAAATGATTCTTGGGCTTTAGAAGCTTTCTGTCCAGCAGAAGAGGAAAGATATGAAAATGATATGAGAGCAGGTGAATTCAAACAAAATGTTGAGGTGCACAGAGGGAAGTTCTGGCTGTGGTGATGAGCTCTGGCTTCAGAGGGCCTATGATGAGTTGGACCCAACAGAAATAGAAGACATTCAGGGCAATGTGAACCAAGGACACACCTGGTATTCTCCAGAGCTTAGCTATCTTGACCAGGAGTTTTGAGTGTTCTTTTGCTGTGGAACTGTGGTAGAAAAACCACCCTGAGGATGCAAATAGAGGAAATGGTTTACAGCAGTGATCATTACAGCTGTTAATGTATTGAGTTTGAAGAGAAGGCTGGATATCTCAGGGAAAGTGGTCACAGACTGGAAGAAAGACACATGAAATTCTGGACTGTGGCCATTCAGATAACACAATAGAGGTGGGGAAGGACATAAGATCCCTGAAGCAGAGCATGTAGACAAAAAGAGGATGGAGTTGTGTTATGACTGCTTAAATCCTCAACTTCCTTTCTTTATGACCCCTGTATGTTCTCTTCTTTGCAAACCCACCATCCCTTCCTCTGTGGTAAATGCCAGATGCTTAGCAAATACCTGAAATACAGTAGGTTTTCCCTAAATATTTATCAAATATATGAGTGAATGAACTTTGTGAATCACAGAACTTCTGAATAAACTTGGAGATTATGACACTCTCAACTTGACATTGCAGCCATCAAGTGCCCAGAACTCTTTGCCCCACAGTGGGGCAGCCTGGATTGTTCTCATGCTTATGGAGAATTTAGCGTCGGCTCCAGCTGTCATTTCTCCTGTGACAAGGGCTTTAAGTTAGACGGCTTGAACAATACAGAATGCACAGCTTCCGGAAGATGGTCAGCACCTCTACCAACATGTAAAGGTAATACTAGATGTTCACTGAGACTATTCTACTCTTGGAAATTTTTCTGCAGAGATAAAAAGTCATTTACATAGCTCTTGTACATGACAGATACATATTCATACTACCGTTTTGGTATAGCAAGCACAGCCTGTGGGTTAAAATTTTTTCTAAGGATAGGACTTTGTTAGGTTTGCAAATAAAATACTAGTTCTTATGCCAAAATTTGTTTCAAAAAAAAATTGTTTCATTTCTTTAACTTCTTTTGCTCAACTTTATTGGGCAAATTGAATGCTGTTCATTACATTGTTGCTCAGAGAATAACAGGGCCTAATTTTTCAACAGAGGCACACAGGAGTCTGTTGTCATGTTCCTGCCACATGGCAAGTTAATGACAAAGCCAGTGGCATCATTCATATTTCACCTTGCATGCTGACCTTTGACCACAGAAGAGTATCACCTCCCAATGTAGCAGGGGAGGATAGGTGATTGGCCTTTGTAAATTTGGCCTTTCACTGAATTGCTGTGTTTCTGCACCTCCTCTGTTGTTTCTTTAAAAAAATAATTGGTAATATTAACCTCCTGTTTCTTCTTATGGCCACCATAATCATCTCTCCAAGGGCACTTTTAAATGCTCTTCCTCATCTGGTTTTCCATACTCAAAGTTAATAGATAATAGTTTTCCATAACTGTCTTATGCCAGCATGCCCCTTATTAGAAAGGAAAGGAGTGGAGGTCATTACTCTGTATTGGCCATTAACTTGGACATGCTCCTTTTAATTGGGTGTTCTCTAATTGAAACATTTTCTTATGATAGCTGTACGGTCAGCTCCTGCTCCTGTGGTGCGATGCCCAGCCCTTGCCATTCCTGGGCAGGGGACAATGTTCTGCAGGCATCACCTGGGAACCTTTGGTTTGAATACCACCTGTTACTTTGGATGCAAAGCTGGATTCACACTCATAGGAAACAATGCTCTCAGATGCAAAACTTCAGGACAATGGACAGCAGTAACACCAGAATGCAAAGGTAAGGTCAGGGGAGCAGTTTTGATGCATTCAGTCAAACACTGTATGTGCCCATTGAAATCCCACCCAACCCAACAATTATGGCAAGTGTCACATCCTCCATGAAACTCCACTGATCCCAGTGTCAAGTAATGAGCAGCAGGCCCATCACCTGCCCTTCCTCCACAGATGTCTAAAGTGTGTTAGAACTATAAGCATGCCGAACATGAAACAAACTGCATGAACTGTGAAGTTGTAATTTTTTGAACTGGGTGACAGTATAAAGATTGCATATTCTATTAATTAGTACCTAAATAGTTAAAGCTGTCTAATGCCTCTTGAGACCTATCCTCTGTACATGGAATATTGAGCCCCATGTCTCTTTTCTCTTCACATCCCCCTGAAAGCACACTCGGAGCTTTACAAACATCACTACTGCCCAAGAACATTTATTTGAATTAAATATAATTTCCTGAGCTTTACTGTCATGACCATAAGTTAGAATAATATGAAGTTCCCTGAAAAATAGAGAGGTAATGGTCTCTAATTCTTTCAAGTTGCCAGTGTCCACATGAACACTAAATGCTTATAAAGTATTTGAATAGTCACATGCTGACATGCCAGTTAATCACCACTGTATCAATAGTAACACTTAGAAGAAAAGCATTTTTGAGAGACAAGATAGTAGTTATAGGTAGTATTTTTGAAGGCAAGATCAATCCATTAGCAGATATTTACTGGATGATACCTCGTGTCCACCCGTTCTTTGAGCAGCATGCTTTGAGTGGCTGTTTTCACGTGTGTGATATTGGAGAAGCTGATGTGAATACTGCAAATGGGTCATACCCTTTCTGACCTTTATATTCTCCTTTGGCTACTGGCAATAGGTTATAAGTAGAACCATAATCTCACTTACCTTCATTCCACATCTTTGTTTGTCCTGCCTTCTTTCCTGCAGCGATCAAATGCCCTGCACTGCACGTTAATAATCCACTAGTGATGAACTGCTCTGATCCCTGGGGAAATTTCCGCTACGGCTCAGACTGCACTTTCCATTGTCCAGAGGGTCAGCTACTTAATGGTTCTACAAGAGCAACGTGCCAAGATAATGGCCACTGGTCAGCCACCACGCCTACCTGCCAAGGTACATGCCTCTTGTCTTAGGAAGCCACCAAGATATGAAAAACACAAAATCAGTGTTTCTTCTCTGGATATCTCTCACAATGATCTTCCATTCCATTGCTGGGTTTCTGCTTAATTAATAAACGTTCCACAGTGAGTCAGACAGAATCTCCTTGCTTTATGCCGAGCAGTAGGAGTCCAGTTCAGTGACTCTATGTAGACAAATACCACTCCTTTTAGCACTCAGATATAGGGCTTTCTCACTTCTTTATCACCTCTGTTTAACACATCTTGTGGTTTCAAAATGTGTTAAATAGTTTTTTGTTGAATATATCTACTTCATACTATTAGATTTTTGTTTACCACCCTCCTTCCTCTACAATGCCACAGATCTTCCCTAATTATGCTGTTTGCAAGCTTTACTTCAGCCCCCAACTACTCTCCATTTTATTCCCTAGAAGCTTGTTATGACTACTTTCTGTTGCATATCTCAACCTTTGATTGCCAAAAAGTTTACCCTTTATTTACTCAAACTTCCATAGGTAGCATTTTTTGTGCCTACAAATTAATTCCTTTACCCTGACACATTCAGAAATTATATTTGCTATTTAAGCCTTAGGAGTACAACCAGACCCTGATTTCCGCTCTGTTGCCATGGATGTCTGGTTTCCAGATTCTCTTTCACACCAGTTTATCAGCACAGGCAGGATATTTGACGAACCTATTTGATCTCTTGCCTCAGAGTTCTTGGGACCTTTCTGGGAATGACTGGTCTTCTGCACAGACACTTCTTATCCCTGTCTTACATGCGTTTCTTTTGCAGAGGGGGCATCGGCTATCCAGCAAGCTCTGACTTACTTTGGTGGAGCAGTGGCTTCCACAACAGGTCTGGCCATGGGTGGGACACTCCTGGCTCTGCTAAGAAAACGTCTCAGAAAAAAAGGTAAATAGTCTTCCTCTTGCTTTCTTTTTTGGGATGGGGTGACAAAGCCACAACTTTAGTAGGTCAGGTTTGGAAACATTTTCTGGCCAAACAAGACCAAGGTAAATGATCTAGAGGATTGACTGTCCAACCAGAACCACCTGGAGAACTCATAAAAATACAGATGCTTCTATAGGGAGATTTGTAACTGGGTCTATAAATCTGAATTTTTAAAATTTAGTTATCAAAAATTCTGGTGAGGTAATTTTGAAGGTCAGCATTTGGGATCCTCTGGAATCACCAAAACTAACTAAAGAGGTCTTTCATTCCTTCAGGAATTAGCCATTTATAGATTGATAGGCAAAGGAACCCACTCGGATGGTTCTTGCCGTCAAGGTATAAACCAGTAGTAGAGGCAGACAAGTTAAATTAGTGCATATACTAAAGTGGGCTAAGCGTGTGATGACAAAAAAATGTAGGGCCTGGTTATTACCACAACACAGAATAGGGTGACTAAACCAGACTACTAGGTCAGAATGTTATTCTCAAGCTTAACTTTGAAGAATGAGAGGGAATTGTCCAACGGAGGAAAACAGAAATAGAGTTCCAAAAGAGAAAATGGCACGTGAAAAGTCATGAAAGAGTGAAATATCTTGGAGAAAGGTTCAACAGCCGAGTGCATCTGAGTTCAAAGGGGCTTAGGGAAGAGGCAGGCGATGAAGTGAGAGCTGTAAGGAGCTGCTTGGTAGAGACCTGGCCTGACAAGCTCGCACATCTGCATTTTCTTCTGCACACTTGTGCGGTTGATGCAGGATTTAAGCGAGGAAGTGATGAAATTGATAGGACCCTCTATAAGGGAAACTTCATCAGAAAAAAGATCTTTTGTCTAGAAATAAAAGAAGGGTACCACCCATCTCTCAAGGTTTAAAGCATCCTTTCTTAATCCATTGCGACAGCTAGCCTGCACATAATTCATAAACTTGTCTATGAGATAGAATGGCTTTCTTTTTATCAATCCTCTTAAAAAGTAACTGGAAGGAGAAGTAGAGAGAACTAAGACACGTCATGTACACATAGCAACTTCCCACAATGAGTGTAATCATTATGTACCGCAAACATGTACTAATAAACATGAAAGAAAAAGTAACTAGGGACATTAGAAGGGCAATGGAAGCTCAAATCCAGGTAACGTGGTTATGGATGTAGTTATGTTAAAATACTTGATAAAATCCTCACTGAACTCAAAAGTTGCAACATCCATTCTTGCTGCTCAGAATCAGGGATACATATCCCCTCCTCTTCTCACTCTCCATTCACAAAGCTACGATCACATTGGGGTAGTTCTTCTAAAGCCCCTTCACATTTTCTCCCGTGAGTGGGTAACCAAGACAGCAGACCAAAGGCAATACTCTGATGAAAGACCAGAGAGATGTATCAAGGCCTACCTACATTTAATGCCTCTATGCAACATTTGTTTACTCAACCAACCCAGAAAGAGGAAGTATTCCTAAAACCTGAACCCTAATCTCCACAGTCATGTAGGAATCACACTACTTCCTCCATTCACATCATCTCTCCGGCCCTCCCTCCCTCTTTCCTCCTTCCTCTCCTCTTCTTCTCCTCCTCCTCTCTCTCCCTCTTTCTTTCTGTTTCCATTTGTCTATCTATCATCTATCTATCTATTATCTATTTATCTATTATCTATCTATCTATCTATCTATCTATCTATCTATCTATCTATCATCTATCTATCTTGTAATATAGCCCTGGAAGGACACACATTTGAAATCTTACTGTCTCCTGAGAGTTTTCCTTTCTTTACTTTTAGACATTTCTAAGTTGGAAAAGGACTAGGAGTCACCCATTCTCTGATACCTTTAATAATAAATAAACTCATTTCCTGTGCATGGGAGACTTCTCTTGGACGTATCCCACTTGGCTTTCAGACTCCCCCATTTTCTGTGGCCAAATAATAGGAAAATGCTGAAACCATGTCTGAAAATACAACTCTCAGAGTCCTGCTTGGATTAAGACAGGAAATGCCTGTTCACACATATTAGAGGGAAGGAAAACATGAACTGCTCTGTTGGTTCAGATTTGTTTATGTGATTAGCCTGCCGCAATGAAGCCAAGGGAATCAGGAGGCCCAGGGAGTGAGGAATGCCACGAAGTACACAGCCACAGCGGCCCTCAAGGACAAAGAAGCTGAAGGCCTCAGAGGTGTGCGGAGAGATTGTTGTATTGAAAAGTAAGAGGAAGGAAGTGAGAGGACTGTGGAGTTGAATATTGTAAAATATTTCATTTAGCCTAAAACAAGCCCTGCCTTTCAGGGAAACATGGTTCCCAATGCTTCCATGGAATAAACCTATCTAAAAACCAGTCTGCTGACTTTCCCCAATAATATCTACCACTAATGATTCTTCCCCTTCATATAATTTGTTTTCCTTTTAAACTAATCATTCATATTTTCTCTCTTATTTCAGATGATGGAAAATGCCCCTTGAGCCCTCACAGGTAAGATGGAAATGTTCTATAATTGGGTACATTTTGCTAGTTGGACTTTCTCATCGACTAGAGCAGGATAGTCACATAGCGTCTTAATCACTTTCTCATTGCTGGGACAAAACACCTGGCAGGAGGTTTATTTTAGTGCACAGTCTGTAGCGCCTTCATTCCACAGTAGCTGGCTTGAAGGCAGGGTGGTATGGCAGAGGGGCATGACCAAGGAGAAACAGTCCACGGCATGGCACGTGGGAAGCAGGGAAAATTCCTTCTTCTTTCATTTTTTATTCCATCCAGGCTACAAGCCTATTGGTTTGTGCCACTCACCCCAGGGTGTGTGTTCCATCTTCAGTAAGTCTATCACTCACACTCAGAACCATGCTAAGCAAATCAGAGGACTAAGCCAGTATCACACACATATGATCCAGTGTCACACAACTACGATCTAGTCACTCCCCAAAGCCTCATCTATGAGCACATGAGGCTTTGGGGGAGACATCTAGATATAAACCATAACACATAATGCTTGCCTTCTTTTTAAATAAATCTTTCTCCATGCCCTTTTACTATCCTGAAGTAAAATATGCAGATGATGGCCATAATGTTGTAAAAATACACCAATACCCTAATTAAAATATCAAGGAAAGTGATTTGTAAGAAAAACAAACTGCTAACGCTTCAGCATTATGCTAGCAGATACTATGAGGCTGGTAGAAGCTTGCAGAATTCTCCCAGAAGAACTGGTATGAAGCAGCAGCCAGCTGGACAGCCTGCTGGAGGATACTGCATTAGTGACACCAGCAGCATCACAGACATAGTCAGCAGCAGCCTGATTTTTCAGAGTGGTAAACAACTTTGGCAAAGATTTGTAAAGCCCATTATAATCTTCCCTCAGTGAACGTAGCAATTTCATTTAAAAGATGCCAAAACCACTTAATTATATGTAGAGCAGATCAGTTCCAGGCTCAATGGTTTCTGCCTGTATGCATATGGAACAGGTGTTGCAAAGCTATGTGGACAGCAGGACAGTTCTATATCCTATGCCTATTTGAACATCCAGTAATCTTGGCCCCTGTTCACTGTATGTCCTTAGAAAAAAGTCAGGGGGACAGTACTGCCCTTCTTTAGAAACTACTGCTAGAGTATCTCTGTGTCAGACTGCATTGAAGACTAACAAGTGTACTTTTTTTGTTTGTTAGCCACCTAGGTACATATGGAGTTTTCACAAACACCGCATTTGACCCAAACCCATAAGGTAAGTTGCCTATGAGGACTTTTTTTCACACTGGGGATTGAATCCAAGGCCTTCACACTGAACTAAATCCCTGCCCCTTTTTTATTTTAAGACAGAATCTCACTAAGGTGCTAAGTTGTCTAGGGTGAGCTTGAACTTGTGATCCTCCTGCCTTCGCATCCCAGAGAGCTGGGATTAAAAACATGCGCTAAAAAATAAATAAATAAATAAATAAAAGCATGTGCCATCACACTAGGCTTTTTTTTTTTTAAGGAAATAGAACAATAGAAAGCTTGATTGTTTTTACATAATCATGTATTCAGCTTTAATTATGTATTAAGTTTTCAGGCCATGAAGGAAATTGTATTGGCAACAGGAGATAAATAGGACAATAGAGTAATAACAATGAACTTGTTTAAAGATTTCCATTCCTCCAGGGTAGAAATGTTCTAAGGATATATAAGTTCTAAGGATAAATGTTCTAAGGATATCCTTATTCCAGGATGTGTCACATTCTCATTATTGACTGCTATTTGGTATTGACACCGTGGTGTTGCCTCACTATCCCTTATGCTGCCTCCTGGGGAGACAGAGATAATCTGATAGCATCTTTATCTCAAATAGTGCAGTAGAGATAGTTGAGTTTCCTAGGAAAAGTAACTCAGATGGCAGAAAATCTGGAATCTAGGAAGAGTTTATCTTGAGCTTCAAGGGAGAGATATGATGAAAGATTTCTTGTTTTCTTTAATTTTTTAAAGGAAAAGATACTTATTTTCATTTCTTTGGTTTTATTTTCAGAGACATACCCTTTTCCTAGTCACCTCCTCCAGACTCTCAGGATCCTGCTAAGGAACATGGAACTTCCTGTTAGACTTGACTTCAGCTGTAGCACATCTGTTACAGGTTTCTGTACATATTGTGGATAAAGGACAAGGATACTCCTTCAGATTTGCTCTGGACCAGAGCGGAAGGACTGTGCCACATTCTCGCCTCTCCACCCACCTTCTTCCTGCTCCTCCTCCCTTCTTCCTAAAACACCAGCCAGAGAAGCCAGAAGCAAATGTTTTGACTGTGGTCTGTGGACTTCGACCTGGCTGTCCTGGAAATACTAGTTAGTCAGAGACTGGAGCATCTGATTCACTAGAAAACCAGACTGAGGAGAAGTGAAAGGGAGATGTCTCATTAATTTTGGATTGAAAAAAAGTAGGCATCTTCTACACTGTTGGAAGGCAGGAGCATGTCTAACTTGAAAGAATTCCTACAGGATCTCCAGGAGTCTCCAGCGGTTGCTGTCTCTGAAGGCCCTTAAAACGCTGCTGAAGTTTCTAGAGGAGACTCTAGATGGCGCCAGAGGGTACGAAAGATACGTTACTGTGGAATTTCTCCACCAAAGAACCCAGAGATCAATATTTAAACCTACAAGTAAAGAGATTTCCCACCAAATATCATATTCCTTTATTTATGTTCTGTTCAATAAGGTCTCTGTATATCATGTTGTTTACCGTCAATGTAGTGCACAGTTACAGTTGTCCCAATTACAGTTCGACTGTTCAATGAGTTGGTAAATACTATCCACACCCCTGCTCCATGAGAAAATCAGAGGAGCAGAAAAAGTTTTCACCTTCATGTTCTACAGAGCAGTACAGATATGTTTTACTGGTTATTTAAATCACATGTTTAATAAATATGTCACTGAAAACTACACAGTGTTTACCTGAAATTAATGCAAATATTAGCCAAACAATATATCGTCTTGTTGCAAGGAAATGTAATCTGATGACTCCACCAGGTAGACTGGATACACATAAGCAAACACACAAATGTAAATAGTAAAAGGGTTAATTAAAGAGCTACAAAGATTTTGCAAGAACTTTGTGAGCAATCTTGGGACTTAGGAACATGATACTCACCAAAAGTTTCTCAGAGATGCTGCCAATAGCACCCTTGATGTCAATCCTTATATGTGAATAGGTAGGTATTATATGGCAGTGGTTCTCAGTCTTTTCCCTCAAGTCAGAATCTACACTTGTGAAAGCTCCTAGGGAATTCTGATGGTCTAACGCCTTTGGGAACCACTGGTTTTGTAGATATACAACCATAAGGTATCATTCTTTCTCTTAAGTAGCTTATAATCTAGTTGGGTATTCAACAAGCACCTACACAAAATGATAAAGGGTAGCTGAATGTAGTGGTGCACACCTGCAATTCCAACACTCTGGGAGGTAAGGCAGGAAGATCCCCAAATGAAGTCTAGCTTGTGCAATTTAGCAAGACTGTCTCAAATAGGATAGAATAGAATAGAATAGGAAGAATAGAATAGAATAGAATAGAATAGAATAGAATAGAATAGAATAGAATAGAATAGAATAATAAGAATAGAATAGAATAATAAAATAATGGGCTGGGGATGTAGTTCAGTGCAAAGGCCTAGGTTCAATACTAGCACCTCCCACAAAAAAGCTAAAGGGTAATTATACTTTGAACAGTGGCATTAGAATTTATAAAATGGAAAAGTAAAAACTGAGTCCAGAATCTGGAAGAAGGCTAAGACTACCGACTTTAAAAGCTGGGCAAAGAAAGAAGGAGAGAAAAAGCATTCTGTGTCGAATGCTATCAGCGAATGAGCAGACAGACAGATGGGGTAGGGAATATGCTGCTGCGGAGCCTGATGTCATTTCCTGAGATGTCGCCAGGATACAACTTGCTAAATACATTGATGCCATAAAGCATAGGCAGAAGCTCAGGTCCCTGTGATGCTTCAGATAACACACGTCTCAGATCCTCTATCAATGGAAAAATAAAATTCAAGGCAGGGCAAGACAGTAAGCTCCTTCCTGAAGTATCAGAGACCCTGAGAGCAGGAAGTGTAATTAGAAATAAGCCCATGCTGTGTGCTCTATAAATGCTAGGAACACTATATTAACAAGATCCTTTTATCCTCCCAATAGTCCTATCAGGAAAGATTAATCTCCTCCCAGTTGTTTGCAGATGTCAAAACTGCACTCTACTTAAAGACTTCATATCACAGTAATGTGTGCACCCACGTTTACAGCAGCATAACTCATACTAGCTAAGTCTTGGAAGCAGCCAATATGTCCATCAACAGCAGAATGGATAAAGAAAATGTGGTATTTACACATCATGGAATACCACTCTGCTCTCTGCCACAAAGGAAAATAAACTTGAGTCATTTATGGGAAAATGGATGCACCTTGAGACCATAATGTTAAGTGAAATAAATTAGACAAGTTTAAATACCACGTGGTTTTTCTTACATGAGAAGCCTAAAATACAAATAAAGAGCAAAATAAAAGACAGATAATAGGAAATAGGGAAATAGATCTTTCTCAAAAAGGAAGGGAATCTATAGATGAAGGGAGGGAGAGGGAAAGAAGGAAATGGAAAGGGGATGAAAAATTAAAATGTGTGATATACACGCCCCGTTCCACACATGGAATGTGAACACGGTGTACTGCAAACATATACTAAGAAAAGAAAGTTAAATTAAAAATTGGGGACCCGGGATGTAGCTCCGTGGCACAGCGTCTGCCTGGCAAGTGCGAGGCCCTGGGTTCCATTCCCAGTACAAAAGAAAACAAAGCTCAAACCAAAACTTGGTTGCTTTGCGAGGGTGTCAGCATTTTCCCAAAATAAAGAGAAAGACATTAAAATAAAGGTGACAGGCTTAAAAGAAGAAGAAGAAGGAACTCTGCTCCAGAGAGGTGGAGTAACTTGCCGCACACCACACAGAGAATAAATAGATCTGAATTCCGGACTGCTGGGGATCGCAGCCAAAGCCCCCGCGGTGCCGCAACTCCCCCCACCCCGCCCCCTGACAATGGTGACAAGCCGTTGCCCAGAGCTGTGCCCTGCTAAAGTGACTCAGGGCAGGCGGCATCCTGCGGCCTGAGAGCACTGTGTTTCCACGCCCACGAAAGGGCACCGACTCGAGGGCGCCGGGTCTCCGCGGGATCCGAGGGTCCGATCTCCGAGCCCGCGGGGAGGGGGCCGGGCACTGAGCCCTGGGAGGGTTCCAGCGGCGACACCGTCGCCGTCCCGCTCGCCCTGCCTAATCAATACCTCCGTCCTCGGGGCCGTGACCCTGATTCCGGGGAGGAATCGCAGGCGGGAGGGACGAGGCTGCGGCGCAGACGGCAGGCACACGCGCCGAGGAACATGTCTCCGAGCCGCGCGCGCCTCTGGGTGCTGCTGGCCCTGGGCGCCGGCCTGGCGGGCTGGGGCGTCCGCGCGGGCCCGGCGGGGGTGCTCCGGGAGTTCTACGTGGCCGCGCAGAGCGTCACCTGGACCTACCGGCCCGAGCCCTCAGATCCCAGGTAACGGGGTTGGGGGTCGGGGGTAGAGAAGGTGCCTTTACAACTGCACCTAGACAGAGAGAAGACTGACTGACTGATTGAGACTGACTGTGACGGGGAAGGAGAAAACAAGAAACGGGAAAAGGGGGGGGGAATCCATACACACACACACACACACACACACACACACACACACACAATAGCTAAGTTAATTGTACTACTAATTTCTATTAGTTGATTGAAAGGAACAGTTAATGCTTATATTGTTTAATCAAATTTGCATGCCTATATCTTGTAATCCGAGCAACTGCTTTGATGATAACAATGTGTAATATAATAACCATTGTTAATTTCCTATCATCTTGTTTTGAAATTCTGTATCGTTTCTTTCTCCCTTTAAAATAAAAAGATTTAAAAACTGATTTCAGGTAAGTATATACAGTTAATAAAGTGCACGTGATGGGTTTATTTCGTTCATTAGACTTGTAGTTTTGCCTCTGCTCATACAGTTCATCCTTCGAAGATGCAGAGAAGATCCACCTGGGTTTGTGATATGCTGCCTCCTTTTCAAGAGTTTGTTTTCAACACAGCTTTGTTAGTTTGCTTACCTGGCTAGTATGCTTATTTGTTACTATGCTTAATTTGTCAGTATGCTTAACTGCTTCAAAAGCACCGGGCTCTACCTCCTTCATTAGCGCCTTCCTACGAAGTCCTTTTCTGGCGTTCTAAGAGTCTGCCATTTACAAGGAACCAACTACATAGGGTTTAGTCTCTGGCTACTTAGCTTCATCTTCTAAAAGTAAAGATGCTTACTCTGCACTTTACTATAAGCAGATAATTGAGTAACTACTGCCAGAGTCTCTTACAAATGACTCTGAAAATGAAGTAGCATTAGTTCTGCTTCATCCGTTTGACTTATTCATGGCTATTTCATATGATCTTCATTTTTTTCTTTAAATTAATTCCTGGAATATGGCTTTCCCTGGATATGTTGGTAAAATCACTACTAAAGGGCAATTGTGACTAGGAAGGTTTAAATAATTTTTTGAGTTACAAACTATTTTTCTAATTGAAAGGTTTAAAAACAAGACTTCCCAGAAATGAACCAAATCATACGGTCCATTCAATATTTCCAGTTAGTTTCATTTTTTAATTTGTTTTGAATGGTAAACCTCCTACTGTGACTGACTCACTTTTTTAAAACACTCAACATTTGATTGTGAAATATAGGTTCCTCTTTACAAAACCAAAGCAATTTGCCAAAAAAATGTAATATTTTTGACCACCTTTGTGTATAATATTAATCCTTTCAAAAATTTCAGTGGAACTAGGTTATTTTGGAGGGTGTTACATACTACCTTGGCCTTAGAAGAAGAAACATCTCCTTTTATAAATAATAATTTTTAAAATTTGCATTTCAAGGTGATATTCTAAGTAATACCCCTGCTCTTAAGGGACTTCCATTACCTAAAACCCCAAAGGAAATAACAGTCTTTCCAACACTCATGTCTGTTCATGGGTAGAGCACACACTCCTTGGGGGGCTTTCTTGTAGCATGTTGCGTTTGTTACTTGGGAGTAGGGGAGATAATGGGGAGATCAAAGGATACAAAGTTAAAGATGAACAAAGCCAGCCTTGCATGATAGTGCAAATTTGTAATCTCAGCACTCTGGAAGGCTGAAGCAGGAGGATCACAGTTCCAGCCCACCATTTAGCAACTTAGTGAGACCCTGTCTCAAACTCTAAAAAAGGATTTGGGATGTAGTTCAGTGTAAAGGTCCTGGGTTTGGTCTGAAGTAATGTTAAAATAAAAAGATGGAATGAACCTGACATGAGGACTACAGCTATTAACAGTGTATCAGCAAGTTGTCACCCAGTGAGGAAGGAAAAATGAAGACTGACAAGGCAGTCAAGCTGGAAAGTTTTTCCTTACTGGTCTTTACCATTCCTGTGAAGTATGGTACCATAGTTATTAAGATTCTGATCCCCCATTTGACCTAGAAATAGAGAATAAAGTAGTGGTTAACTGGGTTGAGACAGAGAAGAAGAAACGATTGGCTGTATTATTTATGAGCTGTATCGTCTTAGAAGATCACTTCATCTTCCAAGACAGTTTCTTCATTTATTTCCAGCCCTTACTCTACTACCTCTCTCCCTCCATTCTTTCAACTAGAAATAAGGTCCAGCAAATTGATACTAATTTATGATGTTTTCCAGGAGCTTAACGTTGTATTTTGAAAGTTAGGCATTTAAAAAAAAACCTATATGTGCTAGATCAGTTTAAAATAGCACACATATTTGCTTATAAGTGATTTGTTCATATTTTTAATCACTTAAAATCTAAAGTTTGAGTTCACACTATGATTTTTAGGTTCCTTTTTAGAAAATTGATTCCGAGAAACAATATGAGGAGAGCCTAGATCTGTGGGAAAATGTTTGCTTATCACAGCACACTTTTTAAAGAAAACAACAATTCCATCCTTCATTTTACTTATTTTTCATATTTACAAACCTTACATTTCTAAAATATAATAGAAATAGTTATTCTATAGAAGTCTGAGGGTGTGAGGAATCTTTTTTGTAATGTGAACAGATGTTATATTCATCTTTCAAATTAGGTTTTGTATTTTATTTCCAGTTTGAATCCTTTTTCACCTTCCTTTAAGAAAATTGTCTACAGAGAGTATGAACCACATTTTAAGAAAGAAAAACCACGACCTAGCATTTCAGGTAAGCCTAAAGTATATTTTTAAAGATAAATTTCTACGGATAATATGGTATTCGTTTGTACCGAAAATATCCTTTGTGCGTTGTTTTTAACCTCTGTTGGTTATATAATGTATGGGCTCAGTGCACAGGGAGAAAGTGGGACCCTGTGCTCATATTGTTGAAAAATTTAAATCAGTGATGGTACCACATTAAGCCAAACGGTGGCCCTTCTGTGCATGGGTCCCTGCGAAACCACACAGGTCACATGTCCATGAAGCCAGTGATGTTTTTTAATCTTGGTTAGCATAGTTAAACAAGACTTTTGAGCATTTGAATTTATATTCATTTATCCAAGAAGCCACTGTGTCGCTGTAGCTGTGGGTGTGGCATTGAATTCAGCACCACGGATGCTGCAGACTCCTACCTTACCTTCATGGGGCAGTGGTCCAGTTCAGTAAGCCTTAACTGAACAAGGTTTTGTTTCCATCTGCCTTCCCAGACACAGTCAAAGGGACTATGTACAGGGATTCTCTGCATCTGCCTTTTCCATCTACTCTCCTGTTCACTGTGAGGAACCAAATGGCTGCGAATTTTCAAGAAGATTTTTTCATTTTGTGTCATCTTTCCCTTAATCAAAGAAACTAAGTTGAGTAGCGGTCTATGAGCTGATCTTTGGGGAAATATTTCATAGGAATGACACAGGTGATCAAAGGAGAACCCCTCTATTTGGGTCATTTTGTCAGTAATTCACCCACCCTTCCCCTGGCCAGGTCTTCACACCTGTCATCATTCCCATACTCACCCTCCACCTCTCCTGTTCATCTCAGTACCCTGAATCTGATGATCACCTGTAATCTTCAACCTTTCCTCAACTTCCCTTCAGTCACAAATTAATAACAAAGGCACACTTGGGTGTACAGGCCTATAATCCCAAAACTCTGGGAGGCTGAGGCAGGAAAATTGGAAATTTGAGCCCAGCCTGGACAACTTAGCAGTTTAGCAAGACCCTATCTCGAAAGAAAGAAAGAAAGAAAGAAAGAAAGAAAGAAAGAAAGAAAGAAAGAAAAACAGAAAGAGGGCCTGGGGATGTAGCTGCAGGCAAAGACTCTGGGTTTGATCCCCAGGATCAGGAAAAAAAAAAAATCAACAAAGCAAAATACATGTTCAGATAAATCCCTATATTAGGGGAGGAAAAAGAAAAACTCACCTTGACCCTACCCACCTTTTCCTTTTCTCTCCCTGGAGTTTCTGCCATTCTCTACATCCTCTCCTTACATTCCTTCCCTCATCCATTTCAGTGTGACTAAGATTACCATCACAAAAGGGCATCAATGATCCCCAGATGCCAGTGCCCATGGCTCCTTTCCAGTTCCTTCCCCACTACTGAGATCCTTAGCACTCTCCCTTCTTGAAATTCTCTCTTTGCCTGGTTGGCCTACTGCCACTTCCCTTGGTTTTTTTCTGATCCCTTAGCGATTTTTCTCCATTTTCCCCACTGTACCTTCTTCGTCCACGTTCCATCCTCCAGCACCACAAGGTCTTTCACACCTCCCTGCCCAGAACTCATGTCCTTTCCAAAGCTGTACTGATTGCTCCCCAATCACAGCAGGAACAACTCTTCCTCTTCCTTTATCCCCCAGTACTGAGTAAACTAATTCTTGTTAGGGATGTTGTGGTTGATCAATGAAGTTAACAAGCAGAGTACTTACAGCAGTGGGAACACATCATCAGCACTCAATATAAGTTAGCTACATTATCAAGACCTTTGCTATTGTGATTATTAATCATATTTCCAGTAGATCATATATCTCTTTTATAGATATCTACATATCCATATTCCTTCACTCTATATATTTTGGTAGTTGATCATTCATATATTCACTTACCCTTAAGTAAATACACTTTTAAGTATTATTTTGTTTTTCAAAAAATTGTTTTGAGAATGACTACACTGCAGACTCCAGGGATATAAAAGTGAGTAACACCTGGACTCTGACTTTCAGGTGCCTTCTGGTTACTGGGGATGCCCTACAAGTAGATAAATAGTTGTAGCATAGTGACAAAGAAGAACTATGAAGAGAGGCTACAGTAGGACATAGGAGACCTATCTCCAGTCCAGTGGTCACAAATGTCTTCCCACTTCTCTGTTGATGGCTGAAAAAAATAAAAGAGAGTAGGAGCTTGGAAAGTCAAGTGGAGGGGAAGTGTGGAGATGCACTTGGGACCAAGGGAGCAGTACTGTGTTCAGACTTCGAGTTTGAGATGTCTGTACAGTATATACCTAGCAAAGTGAAAGGAGCTGCTGGTGTAGAATTCTGGCCTGTAGGAGAGGAAACCTGAGCTAGATATAAATATTTAGAAGGCATTGGCATAAATATTTAGAAGGAAGCAGATGGCACATGAAGTTCAGGAGGCTGAGAGATCACCCAGGAAGCACAGGAGAGGGGGCTGAGACAGAGCTCAAAGGAGCAACAAAGTCCAAGGGATGAGCCAAGAAAGAAAGGTTCACCAAGAAGCTTGAGCACATCTGTCCAGAGAAGGCAGAGGACAGCTAGAGAATGAGGTATTCTGGAAGCAAATGACCAAAAGTCCCCACAAGCTACTGGTACAGGGACTCAAAGGCTGCCTTTGTCATGGACAGGTAGGGCAAGATCATATGAAGGAGAGGGCTTAAGGACTGAATGGAAAGTGAGAAAAAGGAGGCAGAAGGAATTTACAGATAATTCAGTCCAGAAACTTGGCTCCGCAAAGGAGGAAAGACAGTGGCTCTAGAGGGAAATGAAGGATTTAAGGATATTTGGAGCTTTACAGAAAGGAATATAGAAACAATGTTTAAGGGAGAAGGAAAAGATAAAGACATCTGAGGAAAAATAATGGATGGTGCAAGGTTCAGAAGCAGCAGAAAGCTCTGAACTTTAAAGCTTGGGCTGGCCCACAGTTGGCTAGAAGGGCTCCCACCTCCTTTGAGTGAAGGAGGAACAGTAAGGTTGTCCATAAAATGACATTCATACCCGTGGGCAGGAAGTGGAAAGATCTCTTGTCCTCTACCACAGAGCCTGTTCAGTTTCATACTCCAGCTTCCAGCTTAACATGCATAACAGACACTCAAGGACTGTTTAACTCAGTTCATCTATAGGTGGAAAACATATTCACTAAGCCTAGAAAAGAGGAATTGGGAACTATCTGAAGCTCCACCTCTTATGGCTTTTGCCAAATTATCCAAGTTTAATGCCATTTCTAGGTAAGATATTGTACTGAGTGCCACAACAGAGAGAGGACCAATTCTGGGCTTGATACCTTAAAGCAGTGGTGGTGAACCTATGGCACATGTGCCACAGCAGGCTGTTTGTATCACTGAAAGCTCCAAAAGATTCACCATCACCACCTTAAAGCAATAAGGAGGCATATGTAGTTTTTGAAGAGGAGAGTGCCCTGATGGAAATCCTATCAGATGATTAACTTTTGTAGTGATTTCCTGATTTAACCTTATTACTGAAAAGTAGACCTTGGGAGTTGATAAGAACAGCCTTGGATTTATGTTTATGTTTGTTTTGTTTTAAACATTACTGTTATGGTTTGAATCTGTGTGTGCCTCCCAAAGCCTCAAGCGGCCAGGCTTGAGGGGCAGTCTATTAGAGTTTGAATATGGGTGTGAGAGCTGCACCTGCCCGGGAGTGGATATTTTGCATATGTAAGGGAGAGGAAAGGAGTGCTTGGAGTGTTCCTCCCCCATTCCGACCTGGTGTGTGGTTGCTGCTTAGCTGTGTTCTGCTGCCCTGAGCGCTAGGTCTCTGCCATGTGCCACTCTGCCTTATAAGCTGCCAAGTACAGACTGAAACTTCCATGAACTGTAAGCGAAATAAACCTTTCCTTCCTTAATTTTGGGCGTCAGGTATTTTGTCCCAGCAGCGAGAAAAAAGTAACCAAGACAATTACCTTCATGTCAAATCCTTTGTCTCCTAGAATGTATTTGTTTCAGATGAGCTAAGACATTGAAATACCCAGTTTTGGCTGCACCAGTGGCCTGTCCTGTGGCATGTAATGAATTCCTCTCTGGGGAGCAGAGACCTGGATTATCGATCTCCTGCAGTCCTTTCCAACTCGACACCTGCAGGCCATGCTTCCTTCCCTGTGCCCTACAGTGGTTTTCCCTGCCCCATCACATAGCCCTGGGCATTGAGAAGGTGGGAAAGGGCTTAGGCCACCCAGCTGAGGGAGAAGCTAAAGAGCAGCTCAAAAAACATTCAGCCACATGTCTGCCTACTTGTATTTGATTTGCCTGAATAAAAACACCTTTCAGTTTTGCTTTAATGCTGAAGAAGCAGGAAGGGAGGCTGAATAAATACCCCAACTGCCCACTGAAGTAAGATGTCTCTAGGAAGCTGTTCTGGGCATCCAGCATGTGCAGCCATGTGATGTCACCTATCAAATCAGCCAAGTAAGGGATCCATAGTGACAAAATGCAGTGCACACAATGATAGCATGGTCAGCACAGACTGTGCTCATGGGCATCCCGGGCAGGGGGATGGCCAGTGGGGACACCATGACCAGCCAAGATCAAAGTGGCAGGGTTAGCCAATGGAGTCACGCATGGTCCACAGCCAAGAAAGGGGATGACTTCTCCACTCTTTCTGGACAATGAGGTCTGAACCTGCTCTGTAGGACGTGGTAGAAAAAGCTTTGGCTTAGCAGTCCAGAGACTTGGGTTCTAGTTCCAGAAATGCCATCAAGTCACTGACTGACCCACAGCAAGCCACCCTACTCCTCCACCCTACTTCTAGGCTTCGTTAACCAGTTCAAATATAAGGGTTGAACTTGAACTATGTGAGCTCCATGACATCACTGTGCAGAGCTCACATAGAACAAACAAAAGGCTTTGGGCAAAGAACAGTGTAAACTGCTGGACTGGCAGCACAGTGGAAGGAACAGTAGGTAAGAAGACAGGTGTAGGGACAGATGTGATCAGAGACGATAGCTTACCATGGCTGTGTAACCACGGGCACAAACCTATTTCCTCAAAACAAACTGAATTTGTTTCCTCTCTTACAGTCTACATGTCAGAGGTCCAAAATGTGCTTCACTCTGTTAAAATCAAGGTGTGGCAAATGCTGTTATTCTGGAGGCTCAAGAGTAGAATCATTTCCTTGTTTCAATTGCTAGACACTGCCTATGTTTCTGGGTCTGCAGCCCCTTTCTCTACCCTCAAGGCCAGCAGAAAGCATATTCCAATCTCTTTCTGAGATCCTCCACATCTCTCTTATAAGGACCTTTGGGACTGCTTTGTGCCTATCAGATTACCCAGAAATACCTCTCCATCCCAAGGCCCTGATTTTTGCTATGTGCAGAGCCCCTTGCCATATAAGGCAGCATACTCACAGACCTGAGGGAGAGACATGACTCCACCTACCCCACCCACCAGACGAAACCCTCCCACAGTGTCCTGCATGCACCTTTACCCCCCACGTCCCACACCAGAACCCCACAGGCCACCCATGGCAACCTGGCCTTCCTCATCCCTCATCCAACCCATCATAAGTCCTTCAAACTCTATCTCTCAAGTAGAAATCTAATCCATTCTTTTCTCATCATCTCCACTGCAACCTTCATCTCACCAATGTCTCTTTCAGAGCCTTCCCTCAGCATCTTCTCTGGTTTCTTACCAGGCCATTCTCCACAAAGTCAGCTGGAGATTTAAAAACCAAAATCGGGTCCATGTTGTGCTCTTGCTGAAAACTCTTTAGTGGCCTTCAAATGCTATTGGGTTAAAGGCAAAGCTCTAAAAAGCCAACATGCCCCCAAATGATGGGAACTCCCATGGTACCATCAGCTTTACTTTCTGCCTCACTGTCTTGCCCACTGAGCTCTTTCACTGCCATCTCTCAGTCATCTGATTAGATCACATCAGGGCCTTTGTACATGCTAATACCACTCCCTGGTGAGATCTCTCCTGCCTCCTTCCAGTCTGCCTTTGGACTTCAATTAAAGTATGTCACTTCCTTGAGAAAGTGCTTCTAACCATGACCATTGCTTACCTCCATAATTATACTAAACCTTCTGTAAATACTCTTCAGGGTATTTTGTACTTTTCTTTCGTAATGCTTACAGTTAATAATCAAAGATTTATATGATCATTTGTTAAAATCTGTCTCTCCTACTATCTTATAAACTCTATGAAGGTAGGGAGTGTATCTATTTTACACTTTTATGTGTCAATACAATTCTGACCCTACAATAATGTGGGAAATTATTATTTGTTGAGTGAATGAATGAATGAATGAATACAAGGTAGGGGTGTAGTATAAAGAGTTTAAAGCTCAATATCTAGAGTTAGACAGAATTAAGTTTAAATTATAGCTTTGCCTCTTTTTAGTTGTGTGGTATTGGACAAGATACAGTACTTAAACTTCCTGAGGCCCAGTTCTATCATGCATAATGTGAAAATCTCAATATGTAACTCAAACATTTATTGTGGGGATTGATACAAGGGTCCACATTGCTCAAATATATCTTGAGGACAGTTAGTGGATGTCTTGTCATAATTACCATCACTACAAGTGAATGTGGGTTGAACTCCACACCTGTCAGAACTTCCATCTCCTGCCTCCATGACCTCTAATGGGCAGAGGCCAATTCCATGAGAGCTTATGGATGGTCCAGAGGTAAGAACAGTTGGTTCCTAGCACCTGTCCAAGGTGGGGCTTTGGTGATAGATCCACAAGACCTAAAGGATGCCAGAATAGTGGGGGACCACATGTTGCAGTGGAGGCTCACAAGCTCTACCTCCAGAGCTGAGCTGAGGTGCTAATGGGATCCTTTCTTTCAGTAAGACTCTATGTTATTCTGAAGTGGAGACTTCGAGGGCTATGCTTTAGCTGACTGTAGTATATAACTACTCAAAACTGTGACTCAGACATCAGCACTTCCATTAATTCCCTGGACAGAAGTGGTCCTGCATCTTTGGCACCCATGTATCTTGTCCGTATCTCAGTGGCGGGTTCTACCATCTATCACCACACTACTGGTGAGCTCCTGGTGGGCAGGCCCTGTGTCTTATTTATTCCTGCAGCCACAGAAGCCAGCACAGTGCCTGTCCTGCAGCAAGTAAAACCCCACTCTAACCCGCTGCCCCCATGTGCCCCTCATCGCAGTAACCAATAACACTGTCTACCCAGTTACTTAGATCAAAACCTCCAGGTCATCCTTGACTTCTCCTCTTTGAAGCCACATCAAATCCATCAGAAAACGCCATGGGCTTTTCCATCAATCGTGTCCAGATTACAAACACATTTATCACTTCCCTGCTACCTGCCGGCCCATACACCATTGTCTCTTTCTTTTATTTCCTGATCTCTGCACTCACTCTTTTCACCATACAGACTGCTGTCTGCACTGCAGCTAAGATGAATTTTCCTTTAAAGAAGAAAAAACTGCATACCTGTCAGACCATATCTCTACTGCAGAAAGCTGTAGTGCTTTGCCATTTTACATGGAAAGGAAAACCAAAGTCCTTATCATGACCCATGAGGCCTCACAGGAGCCAAACCCCACCACTACCTACTTTACCTCTTCTCGTTCTTCCTATGCTGTTTTTCTTACTGTTCTTTAGATTCACTAAGCTTACTTCTGATTCAGAAGCCTCAGGGCCAGAGAACTGTGTGATTTTCCCCCTTGTGTCATTCAGGTCTCTGAGGTTCCACCTACTTCAGAGAAATCTACAGTAGCCCCTGCCTCATATCCCCTGAGTAGCTGAAAATGACTTTCTTTCTTTTCTTGACCAAAGACAGTAGTTTCAGCCATGCAATATGGCATACACCTGTGATCTGAGTGCTCTGGGAGGCTGAGGCAACAGGACTGTAAGTTCAAACTCAGCTTGGGCAACTAAGTGACTTAATGAGAGCTTGTCTCAAAATAAACAATAAAAAAGGGCTGACAATGTAGCTCAGTGCAAAGTCCCTGGGTTCAATCTCTGGTACCATAAAAAATAAAGACACAGGTCTCTAAGCAAAGATGGTGCATCTGAGTGGGTTGGACGTGGTCAAAACTGTTTCTCCTTTTCTCTTGACTTGCTGTGGGTCCAGGCCAAGTTCAACCCTCCTGTTTTTATACAACTGCACAGAATGTAGAGTGAATGAGCTTGCAAAGTCTTCAAGATTCCAGAGAAGCAGGTTGACTTCAAGACCAGAAGGAATGACAGCAGTCACTTTGGGGCCTTCCTGCATAGCATCTCTATCTTTGATGATCCTAAACACAGACGATCTTAACTTCTTGTTCCCATAGGACTTCTTGGGCCTACTTTATATGCTGAAGTTGGAGACATCATGAAAGTTCACTTTAAGAATAAGGCAGACAAGCCCGTAAGCATCCATCCTCAAGGAATTAAGTACAGTAAATTCTCAGAAGGTGAGAGAAATTTAATATCCCTCTGACAAGAGAAAATGTACAACTCTAACACTACTGTCAAACATTTAAAACTGGTATTGTTAATCATGCATTGTTAGGGAAATCTCCTTTCCTGCAAATGAGAATTATAATAATTATTGCAAGTTTCAGAGATGAAAATCAAAAGCTTCTGAAGCCAACTCTACTTTAGCTTTTCACTAGGTCCTTGTTGTGTAATAGTTGGGTGGGAAAATTACCTAATCTCTATGAAATCCAAGATGTTCACCTTGTTTTTTTTTTGTTTTTCTCCGGTACCGGGAACCAAACTCACGACCTTGCACTTGCCAGGCAGGCGCTTTTGCCGCTGAGCTAAATCCCCAGCCCCAAGATGTTCACCTTGTAAGAGGAATAGTAACACATACATTGTAAGATGGCTTTGTTTTTGCAGGCCATAGGATCTCTGCTTCAATGACTGAACTCTGCCTCTTAATATATAAAAGTAGCCATAGAAAGTATGCCCACGAATGAGCTTGGACGTGTCACAATAAACTTCATTTACAAAAACGGGCAGCTGGCAGGATTGGGCCCAGGAGTTGCTGACATGGTGACACAGGACCAGCTCAATGGCAAACAGATAACACTTAACCCACAGTATTTGATGATGGCAGTAAAGTAGTACTACATACTACCTTAGATACAGTGAAATGGTTAAGAACATAAATGGTTAAGAACACACTCAAGTTTTAGCTTTAGCATTTCTATTTCTCTAACTCAAAATCTATGAGCCTCAACTTTCTCATCTGAAAAATGGGAATGATTATACCTACCCAATAAGGTTGCTCTGAGGATTAAATGAGACCATTTAGGTAGTGTTCCTAGGATGTGGTTCCTGGGCTTGGTAAGCCCTCAATAAATGATGAGGCCTCCATGATGATAATGTCATCAGTGGTCATGAAGACAATGGTGACCAAAGTGACTGCCTCAGCCACATGACACTAAGTACCTGGCATTAATACTGTTCTAATTTCTCCTATTATGTTAACATTCAGATCATAGCAAGCACAGTGGAGTCCTATCAGGAACTAATATAAAAACTGTATCCATGTTTAATAATCAATGGTATAATAACATTTTTAAATAACTTCAGGCTTTTCATATTTCACAAATCTCTTCCTTTTTCCCACATGTTCCAGCAATCATACCATCAAAGAGAGGAATTGGAGATTATTTTATAACATGGGCCTAAAACATGGGCCTTCACCATTGTGAATCTTGGCTTACATACTTACAGCTGTGTGACTTTTGGAAAGTTACTTAACCTCTCTATGACTCAGCCTTGTTATCTATAAAACAAAGATAGTAATCATACACACCTACACAAGTTCGTTGTTATGAAATCCTAGAAAAATACCTAGCATATAAGCCTAGAGAAATATTGGCTATGATAGTATAGAAGATTCCTCAATCAAAATGTGTTCAACTAATTTAATATTTGACAATTATGAGTTAGAAAGTGGTGTTCCCATTTATTGTTTCCTATGTAAATTATTGTCAAACCCATTACCTCTAAGGTGTAAGTGACTGACAGGTCACTACCTACTGTGAACTACTTTCCCCAGGAGGATCTGCACAGATTGAGAAAAAAACAACAAAGCTTAACTGTGATCTTGAGAAGCTACTGTGGCAAGACCCTGGGTTTGCCAGCATGCGCGGGTCTCTCCCTGTCCCAAACATCATACAGTGACATAGTGAACACGGCTTAACCTATGTGTGAACTTCCAGGGGCTGCACCAGGTGTTCAACACAGCAGTGCAGGAAGGGGAATGTTTGCTCAAAAAGCCAAAGTGTCCCTTGTAGGTTCCATTTCAAACATGGGACAGGGCAGAGCTGCGGACTCTGCACCCCAGTGAGGCTGTTTGCACAGTGAGTGGACCTTGCCACACATCCCTCTTCTTTGGATGTTTATTTGTCCCTCTGCTCCCCCACAGTTAGCAATCATGGATGAAAAATCACTCAAAACACTCCACAGTTCCCCCTGGTGACCAGACTACTGGCACTGATCAGTGCCTCTGTGTCCATGAATCTGAGAAAGATAAATGCAGGTGTGTGGGGAAAGTCAAATTTGATCTTGAAAATGAAATGAAATCTAGTAAACCATGTTCTTCATATTAAAAGACAAGCCTTCCATTCATTTTATCATGCCTTCTATATATCTCCCACTGTCATGGCCTCCCTTGACATTTTGAGGCCTTTTTCTCAGGAATGAGGATAAACTCAGATGATGCTGAGCCAGCTATGAGAGAATCCAGATTCCTTTTTCTCAGAGGTAGACACGTGAGAGAGAAATGGCAAGCACTGAAATGGTACAATAGCTTTGAAAAATCCCACTAGTGCATCTGGCAAGGGTGGGTGACCCTTTTTGACAGAGATCAAATTATGATTTATAAAAATGCTTACCTTTCCTTTAGAAATGTATTTAATAGGAATAGTTTTAAATCAGGAAGTAAAATATCTGTAGTTGTACATAATTATCTGAAAGCTTTCTATCATTACAAGGGCTAAAACTTCTGAAACTTTGTAAGTAGCATGCTGTGTGAAAATCACATCCTTGAGAAAATTCTGTTATTCAGTAGAGTTTTCAAAGTTGTTCTGATCATTTTCAAAGATGTTTTGGTCATTACCTTTAGAAAGTTTGTTTCATAATAAATCTTAATAGTATTCTTCATTTGATTTATAACACTCATAGTTTAAATATGTGAGTTTCATTATGAGTATTACACCACAAAATTAGTTCTGTAATATCTAGCCATCTGCTGGTTATCCAACGCTCTGAATTTAAAAAATTCACTATAGATTGTTCCTTGCATCTAAATGTTTCCAAATTCTCTCTTTGAAAACTTACTCTTCTAAATTTTTCCAAAGCATTCCAATGTTTGATAAATTATAGGTGATTATATTTTTTATCTTTCATCTAGATATTTTGTACTTACATACACACTTCATTGAATATACAATAAATGGCCAAAACAAACTGTAACGGCCAACATAATAATTCTCATATTTGTCTGTTTGTTTTCCTGAGAAACTATCTTGTAGATAACAATATGTAAAACAATAACCATTGATAATTTCCTACCACTTTGTCTGTAATTTGGTAAGCCCCCCCATTATTATGTTATCCTTCTTTTACTCTTTAAAATAAAAAAAAATTTTTTAAAATAATTCTCATAAAGCACATAAAGTGAACTCCCATTCAAAAGAGATTTGTGGGGCTGGGGATTTAGCTCAGCGGCAAAAGCGCCTGCCTGGCAAGCGCAAGGTCGTGAGTTCGGTTCCCAGTACCGGAGAAAAACCAAAAAAAAAACAAAAGAGATTTGTGTGTCCTTAGCAGTGGAATTGGGCTCCTTGCAAAGCAACAGCATTTTCATTTGCCCATTGCTTATAGTTGTGATAAGAATGTTCCGAATCTTTGAATGCACTGAAGCATTCACCAAGTTTATGAAATGAAGAGGAAAGGAGTTGTTAACAAAAATAAGGGGAGGATTTAATGAATGAGCACCCTAGTGGGGAACCAAAAGAGTTCTTTTTGCAATTTCACTTTTCTAAAGCTTGTACACACCATTTTACATTTTTTAAAAAACGCTGAAAGCCTTCTGGCAAATAATTAGTACACCACGACAAGTATAAACACACTACAAAGCTGACCATGGACTGTGCAGGAAGCAAAGAGAACTCAGTAAATATAAAATGAAGGACAACCATTATGCAAAGCATTTATTCTAGCATGAAGCTGAGCAAGGACTTTTTGTGCCCTGGCACAGTAGTTGTTCACGTCCATTTTTCCTTTTTCAGTTTAGAGTTTTAATTTTTTATTTTGAGTTCAAAGTCAAAATCAGATTCAGCAAAAATGCATTTCACAAATGGGTAGTCAAAATAGCTGCTGTTTTTGTTTTATACCTGACATTCTGTAGGTTGTAAAAGCAAAGATACAACATGTCTGTTTTATTCTAGAGTAAAGGCAAAATAATTTGAAATGAAAAGAAAACACTGATAAAATTATCCCCCAGCTACCTCATTAGTTACCCGCAGTTGTGTAATTATAGACTATGTCCCTCTTGCAGGTGTGGCTCATCATTTGTTTCAGTATACTGTACCTTTTAATCATCTGCTCAATTATTTGTCATTTATCTTGCATTTAACTGACAAATAAATTCTTAATAATTTATTTTAGTCAATGGTACAGTCATTGATTTGTGTAGCTTCAAGGACACTTTCAATATCTACATATATACCAAAATGTCATGGTACATACTCTGAATGTGTATATAGACAAAATTTTTAAAATCTACTATGTGTTAAAATAAATGTGGATGTGAGCCACTGACTATTTACAAATAAGTCTGATGTCATTAAAAATCAGTCACGCTGTACCTAGCCCAAGTGTTCTGGCACTTTAGGTAATTCATAGATACTGATATTGCTGGATTCTCCTTCCAGAAAAGTGTGTTCTAACTATGGTCTTGGGACTGAGTGGCCCTAGTAAAACTCTAAAGGGGAGCTCAGCACAACCAAGGAACCCACTGCATTCATGCTACTGTTAACTGCGCTGAACTCACAGGGTACAGGCCTGACTGCTTTCCATTTGCACCTGGTCCCTGGCCCAGAGCTGATGAGGCTGAGGATAATCAATTTTGAACTAAACTGAAGGACTGAGATCTTCCTAGAAAACAGGGACTATGTGTTATTTTCTTTTTGCCTTGAAATTTATTGATCTTTTTCTGGTGATAGTGAACAGTTACTTTGGCTTATTGCCATTTTTTAAAATCATTTTTAGAAAAGATCTGTCACTGCAACAGACTGGATGTTTGTGTCTCCCCCGGAGTCATATGTTGGAACCCAGGTCCCCATTGGGATGGTACCAGGGGTGGGACCTGGGGGTTCGGTGGGGGAGTTAAGTCATAAAGGCAGAGCCCTCAAGATGGGTTTGTGGCCTGTGAAAGAGATCCCTAGAGGAGCTCTCA